CAGCTTCTCAGCCATATCCACTGCTTCCTTAAAGACTGCCTCAAAGTGGGCTGGCTTTCTTTTGTCCCGTAATCTCTCTTGGACAACTGAGACTGCAGAGACCATGCCCTCCAATGTCTGGGTGCTTTTTTGGAGCGATGTATTCAGCACTTCCCGTTCGCTCATTACATCTAAGGCCAGTGAGCCCCAGTAGCCCCAATTTCAGTAAAATCTCAGGCTTTTAAATGTTGTAAAATCACCCATAAGTTTTAGGTGTTTTAGTCCTTTATAATTAAATTTATACATTCAAAAAACATAAGGAAGTTATTATCAACGTCTCACTCTACTTTACAGCTTTGTATTAACATTGCTTTAATGTGTGTTATTGTGTACAGCTGGGGATGTTAAGGGCCATGTTAATTATAGATTAAATAATTTACTGTTCTGTAGTTTAAGCAATTGTCATATTTGTATCATCACTAGTCTTTCCTGTGACATGCACCTTTTATTTAGACTTAGACTTAGACTTAGACTTAGACTTCTTTATTTGTCATTTTGTATGCACAGGGTGCATACAGAACGAAATTGCGTTACATACAGCTTATGAACGTTGCATTGATATTTCACAATGGCACGAGTTATAGAAAAATACAAAAAGTGCAGCAGTGGTCAAAGTGTGAACAGTGCAGAGGATAAGAGACAGTGTGCAAGTTGCAGTGGTTCAGTGCAAAATGGCATTTGTGCAAAAAATGCGTTATTGAAAAATACAATGAGATGAACAATTTAAAGGGCTAAAAGTTAAAAGTTAAATATTTATTTATATATACACACACACACACACATTATATATATATATATATATATATATATATATATATATATATATATATATATATATATATATATATATATATATATATATATATATATATATGAGAGAGAGATTCTTTCCTCCGAGTTACAGTGACATAGACAAACTTGAAGATACATGACATCCTCAAATTTCTATTCTATTAAAATTTCTGTATCTGTATAATGGGTCTGTTCTATATGTTGTCTTCTCAATTCAGAAGGCCCCATGCCTGTCTTTGCCTAGGGCCCAAAATTTCCTAAATCCGCCCCTGTGTAGTGGAATTTGTCTAGCTTTGAAGTTCGTTTTTCTCATGATTCAACCTGTAACAACCTAAACCATTTGGCTTGGCATAAATACGGATTCAAGTAGCCTACTGTAGCCTACATATTTCTGAAAGACCCCCAACAACTCCAGAAAAAGTCGGAACAGTCGATTTCATTATAAATAAATAAATGCCAGTCGATTCCCCCTGCCTCCCGCCTTATGACATTGGCACCTCTCTTCACGCTATTCTCACTGACCGTCTCCACTCTTTTTTCCACGGCGACATCGAACAGACAACCAAAAAAATGCAAGGTGATATGATACCGCAATGAACAGTTTACTTACAGTTGGTGCTTTTCGAAAAAAGGATGCAATTGTTTTCTGTTTTTTCGGTTTGGCTGGCCTCATGTTGATGTCCGGACTCCGGAATTGGGAACTGTCCCGCCACTACTGTCTGTCTGAGTAACCATGGAAACCAGGCTCGAGACGTAAATGCCAGAGACAGGATAACTTTTAGATTTGAATCTCTACGACGCAGGCAGCCTGCAGTTAAACAAAACGATTGCCCGTCTATGATCTGACTGTTTTATGTTGTTGTTGCAAAGCAGTAAATTAGAAAAAGCTTTTTGATTTTCTGTGAGTTTCGCCATATGTTTTTTTTTTTTTTTATAAAAGTGGGGGGGACGGATTGAGGGTCATTCGAATCTGTGTACGTCAGAACACCCCTGACGTACACGCTATCTGCGCCCTTGAGCCAGGGAGTGACATTCTCAAATCAGCTAAATTAATTAATGAAACGTATAAATATTTCTCTCAAAACAGAGCTGAAATAAGTTTATGGTCACCTGCTTGAATGACAGCTGCCCTCACCTGTCCAGCAGAAAGCCTGTACCCTCATAAATAGTCTTCACTGATTTGACTCTTATTTTCTCTTGGTTGTTACTTCTTTTTGTTTTCTGTTTGTTTCTCTTCCTTCTCGTTTTCAGAATTTTTTTTTTTACTTGAAGTTTGTCTTCTTTCAGCTACTTTGATCAAAAGTGGCGAAGCAACATGGCGTCACAAATTGGCTACACCACCCCTATGTATTTATAAAGTACTAATTCTAATCTTGAAGAACTTTTGTTTTTGATCTTATGTTGTTAGGCTTTTGCAGAATATATATTCATTAAAACAATGCAAGCTTTTTGCCTAGCATTGCATGTAATAGGTACTGTCACATGTAAATTGCATTTTGACTGGACTATAAAACTGTGCAGGATGGGGTGGTGTGGGGTTTTCATAAACATGCACCGATCCGATACCTTGAACAGATATCAGCTCTGTTATTGAACAAGTAGCCTGATTGGATATTGTTAATTTTATCCTCTCAGAACCCACCCAATCTCCTGGCAACTGTGTTTATAGCGTTTACAACTAACAACTCAGAATGCAGGAAAATGACAACGGTAAAATCTTTACCAATATAAACATGTAAGACATCTTTGGAAATCTTAGATTCTCCACAATTCAACCACCACAAGTTCATTTTATAGACACAGTGAGCACAAAAGCACAATAAACACAGATATAGCAGCATGTTAAAATGGAAACATCACAAAGCAGCCACAGCATACATTTGAAGGCGTCCAGAAGCAGTTTTTAGTAAAGCCTTCCCTCACATTGCCAGATGTATGGTTCATTCAGTCAACAGTTGAATTGGATCAATATCAGATATCGGCCGCCATGCTCAGCCCAGTTATCGGTATACTAGTTTAGTTAAGAAAATAAAAATTTGATTGATGCATCTGGGGTGCGTTTGCACTGGTATATGTGTGTGTGCCAGGTAGAGCCTTACATTTGTAACCTACAAACTATTAGGTGGGTAGAGTGTTCCTTTGAACCTTCAGGAAAACCCGGAAAGCTTTTTACAGTCTGACGTTTTGTGCATTCGTCTTGTCGTCATGTCTTTGAAAGATGTGTGTATAACCGCTGGTTCTGTAATAGACTACAGACATTTTATTTACAGACAATTTTTTTTACAGAGATTTCCCTTATCATCACAAACTTGCAGGAAAATGTTTTAAGGTAGTAATGGCTGAAAAAAGCTCAGTGGCGCAGTGGGTAGCACTGCTGCCTTGCAGCAATAAGGTTCTGGGTTTGAGTCCCAGCCCGGGGTCTTTCTGCATGGAGTTTGCATGTTCTCCCTGAGCATGTGTGGGTTCTCTCCGGGTACTCCGGCTTCCTCCCACAGTCCAAAAACATGACATTCCCTAAAATTCTCCTTAGGTGTGACTGTGTGAGTGAATGGTTGTATGTCCTGTTTGTATCTGCGATGGACTGGCGACCTGTCCAGGGTGTACCCCGCCTCTCGCCCATTGACAGCTGGAGATAGGCACCAGCACCCCTCGCGACCCTAATTGGGACAAGCGTGTCAGATAATGGATGGATGGATGGATGGCTGAAAAAAGAGAAAAGTCAAATACTGACAGTAATTCTATGTTGTATAATATTTGGCTGGTGGAAAAGAAATTTAAGTGTAAAAATGTAACATCCATTCATCTATCTGTATGAGTGATTGCAAATTGGTCCCAGTCCAGAGGGAATGAAAGGCAGCTATAGAAAGCCACAGATTTCATGGTCTTCCCCTGAAAGAGTATCTGGAAAGATCTCAAAAAAGGGCATTCTGGTCGTTCCTCAAAACATTAGCTGACTTTCTTCAACGACTGACTTAGAGGAGCTGAATATCATCACTTCGGCGGCAGGATCTGAAACTTTCTCTAGGAAAAGGAAATTTCTCTGGCTGTAATGTGTGCAAACCAGCACATACTTATTCTGCCATAAAATTCAATGTTTTACCTGAACTACAACATACTCATTTATGACATCAATCACAAGTCAATAAAGATACTAAAAATACGTTTTTTCAAGAGAGGAAGGTTTGAAGCATTCAAAGTTTGGAGCGTTTTACTTTGAATTTGGGAATGCAGGCAGTTTGCATTAATTTTGCATGGACCTGCAGAGTAATATATGCAGTGATAATATCAGATGCTTGAGTTGTAACATTTAATTTCCAGACATGCACCCTGCACCAATGTATTTGGTGCATCACTTGGCTGAGAAAATATTAAAAAGAAAGGACGTTATACTGGCCTGCTGCTGTATGACTTTGTGGTGGTAGACACCAGTTTGTTTAATTAATGTGTGAATAAAGGATTTTATGGAAATTTATTGGATAAAAAAAAAAACAAACATAACATTTTAGTTGTAATGGATTAAAAACATTTTATTTTCCAATAAATTCTACTTACTGGCAAACAAACATCCCATAAAAGCTGTTTGGATTCAGTGACTCAGTCACGCTTTCTATTTTCAGTATGCAGTGACTACATTTTCAGTGAGTGGTAAAACAAAAGGCGTATATTCAGAGGAGGCACACTTGTACTCATTCAGGTTCTCTTTCCATCCAGAGAGATGATGACAAAGAGATGCCCTTGCTTTAGTCTCCAACATTTAATTACTTTGCTTTACTTGAAAGCACTAAGGATGTTTTCCAACAGGTGAGAATTTAAGTTTGCTTTCTAGTAAGTTTCTCATATACAAGACCTGAGATATAGCAGGTTTCCAGTTTGGCTCAGTCTTTGGAACATCTCCTTTTTTACTTGTACAATTAACAAACTAATCTGAACAAGGCCTCTATTTTCTACGGTGCAGTTCACCAAATATTGCTGAAGAAAACTGTGACAATGATGGTGTAGTAAGCATGTTACTATGGCAACAGTGTCCTCTCCTCATCCTATGATTCAACTTCCATGTTGCCAAAATGTTAAATTATTACATCATATAAACAGACTATTTTTGTGTTTCTCTCAAATATCATGCTTCTTTTTTGTGTGATTGTTTTTGTTTTTGTTTGGTTAACTTTTAGACTCTGAAACAACAGAAGATGAAGGTGGAGACCAGTTCGAGACCAAAGAGGACGGTGGGGATGTTGAGGACCAGGCGTTTTATGGTGAGAACTAGTTTGTGTTTTTGTATTTTGGAACGTGTCAGGTGTGGATTTGCTTTTGATATATCGCTGGTGATATTTTTACTGCCACAGCAGCCTTCATAAGAAAACATTTATGAGAAAAAGACCTCAAGAAAAACATCAAATATGCAGGTCCAATATCCTAAATTCAAAATGACCCCGATTCCTCACATTTTAGGTCAGTTGCAATGAAAGTATTTGCTAAATGAGGACAGCTTTAGTGTTTCTGTGAGGCAGAGACAGGTTTGGCCTGCAGTTTTTGACATTAATCATAAAGTGTTCCACTGACAAACCAATAAACTTGTATAATTAAACAAAAATGTTTTTACACATAGTACAGTTCTGGGCTATTCTGTAATATGTTTTAATAATATAACATTCTTAAAAAGGAAAAATATGAGGAACTACGGTTTAGATTTAAGCTTTTATTGTAAAACATTAAGTATGGATTTCCTAATGTGATCTGCTGATTCATAACTTTTTTTTTTATCCCCAAAGGGAAATTTAAAAGAATGCAACCGTTTTTTGCATTTACTTAACCATATTTAGTTACTTTAACACAATTGTTTCATGTTAGCAGGGTAGGACATAAAACAATTGTGTTAAAGTAACAAAATATGATTAAGTAAATGCAAAAATCAGTTGCATTCTTTTTTTCAGGTGTATAGCATAAAAACACAGACACAGAGACAGTCACTCTACAACATTATACCGTTTTAGAGTCAACATTATTGTCCAAAGATCAACTTAAATATAAGTAGAGTTGGAATAACTGAACAAATCCCTTCAAAATAGTTGAAATTCACCATAGATTGAGTGATTAGAAAAGCCTTTTGCCTTTTGTGTAACTCTGTTTAAATTGTTTTTCTGTCAGATCAGTTAATTCGTTTTTACCACCACTTTTATTGTTTGTTTCATCTTCTTTTTATATCTTACTGATAGGTTGCCAAAACAATTAAGAAAACAAATGTAAGAACAGATTCTGTTATAGAACCGTGAAAAAGTTACCAGCAACTTTTTAAACACACCAAACTAGCTTAATTTGCAGTTTAATTTTCTTGATGTTCTTGTCTTGCTGTCAACAACCGTAGGTATTTATTTTAATTCAATTCAGTTTATTTATAGAATGCCAATTCACAACACATGTCATCCCAAGACACTTTACAGTTCAACCAGATCATGAAAATTGATTAAAAGTTTTCTATCTAAGCAAAATTATTGATTTGAAGGCAATCCCTCACACTCAGCATGCTTGTAGCGACAGTGGAGAGGGAAAACTCCCTTTTAACAGGAATAAACCTCCAGCAGAACCAGGCTCATTGTGAGCGGCCATCATCTGAGGCTAACTGGGGTTCAAGGAGATAGAAACAGACATACAAAAGACGATTGTAAAAGGCGGCGCAATCCAGGAAACACACAGCCAGGCAGACGAGCTCCGAGCCAGCTCCCATGTCAGAGGATGAAGAGAGCACATCCAGCCAGTCACTGTCAGACAAACAGGACTACACTGAAAAACAGGCCAACCTAAAAGGCGAAAAACAGGCAAAGCAACGAGAAAAAACAGAGAGCATAACATTGGAGACTGAACTAACAGATTTTGCAGAGTAGGAGATTAGAGATAGGATGAAGCAGAATGATGAAAAAGGGGGTCCCTATGTCCTCCTATTCCTATGTCCTATGTATATATAGCTCTGAAAGCGCTCCACTGGTTCCACTTTAATCAAAACTAAAGCAGTAGACTGGACTTTTTATTGAAATCTATAACTAAAATTAAATCTGTTGGCACTAATACAGTACAAAGATATTTCTGTTTCAGATTTTTCAAGAGATGGTAAGGAGGAGTGTAAAGTTTGCTGAGGCTGTTTGTGGTCAATGCTCTTGTTTATTGGTTTAACATCAGTAGATGTTTAGTAATCAATACAGCTAGATGCCTTTTTTTTGTTATTATTTGGAGGGTCAGCAACTGGTAGTTGGGGAACCTTTGGGTTGGACTTAGACTACTTTTGTTGTCATTTTGTATACACACAGTGTATACAAAACAAAATTTTATTTTGTACAGCTTTCATGACATTTCAATTTTTTGTGCAGCAGTGATCATATGTGGGAGAAGAAAAAGCAAAAAAAACCAAAAACGAATTGATATGGAAAGTTCAGAGCATTAAATATATATGGTGCAAATATGCAGTGTTTTGGTTTGGATTGTTCCAACCTAAATTCATATCCATCTAAATGGATCAAATATTTGTTCTTTTACATGGTAAACAGTGATGGAAAAAGTTGGAGAGGAAAAAAGCAGAGCACATGGACACGAGGATCTCTCTACCAGGCAAGCAAGAGGCACACTATAACAGTTACATTTCCTTGTTATACTGAATTAGCAACTGCAATCATAGTACATTCTTAAATACATTTTTGGATGCAAAATTTAAACCACTTATTGATTTCAGCAGTTTTTTAATAAATCATCTGTTGCAGAAGCCATCCAGAAGACTTTGTTAGAGAATCTCCACCCCAAGTTCTTCCACCACCATCGCCAAGGCTGGTAAAACGTACGCCCTCCTCTCCGATGCCAAGTCGCTCTGGTTCAACTACACCTGTCAGCTCACGTAAGAAAACTGTTGTGCCAACCGAATATCAAGACACAGTTCCAGGGGAGTTTGAGGAGAAGACTAAGCAGCCAAAGAGTGTTTCTCAGGGAGGGGGGCAAGACTCCAGACCACAGACCCCACTGAGTGAGTGCTCCAGAAAAGAGTTCAACCTCAGACCATCTCCAAAGCTTACAAGGGCAAGCTCAAAGGTTTTTGAGAAGGTCCGGGGCTTAGAGGAGCGCAGACGAAGTCTTGATATTCCAGAGGGGTCAGTCTCTGGAAGATCCTGGGCAGGATTCAACCGTGCTGGATCTGTAGATTCAGATGATGGTGGAAGCCGGTTGGGCATCTCCAGAGAAAGTTCAAGAGAAGATCTCAGAGAAGCTTTGAAAGAGGATGCTGCTGAGAGGAGATCCATGTTCAAACAGAGAGCTGCTTCACTGGAGGAGAAACCTCGCTACTCTCAAAAAGTTCAAGATATTGAAAACAAGTTCACAGAAGAGCTTCAGCGCATCAAAAAACTTGTTGGGAAACCTCATCTAAAAAAATCCTTCTCCACTGAACAGCTCACCCTGAAGGGGAGGCAGCGTCAACCTCTCCGAAAAATTGAACCAATCCCTCCACAAGTCCTACAGAAACTGCAAGAAAGAGAACGGGTTCAGTTGGAAAAGCAGCAGAAGGAGAAGGAACTGAGTCAACAACAAATGCAGCAACAACAGCAGGAATTGCATCAACTTCATCCCCAAAAGACAACAACTGGATCAACAGGATCAGCAGTTCCAACTTCAGGGAGAATTAGAAATCTCCCAGGGCCCCCAGAATCAGTACAGCTATCAGATCTGCCAGGACAACGGTTTGTCAGGGAATTACATAGAGTAAGTCCAGTAACAGAAATAGTTCAAAGGTCAACTTCACCAGCATTACATCAACAACAAAGGGCAGAATCACCCAGTGTCACAATGACACTTCGTAAAGTTGAACGAAGGCCTCCTAGTCCACTTGTTCAAAGAGTAACTCGAATGCAAGAATCCCCACATATCCAAGAACCTGAGACAGGGAGGAAAACACTAGCGGATATATCATTAAGAAAAATTGAAAACCGACCGGAAAGTCCCCTGGTACAGAAAAGGGCTGTCATTATGCAAGACCTCTCTCTTCAACCTCGTCCAAAATCCCCAAGAGTAACATCAATCACCCCAACAGAAGACGCAATAGAAGTGGAGGTGTCAAAACCTGCCTTAAAATTAAAGGTCCCCACAATTGTTGTTGAAGATGAAAGAATGGATGAGAGTGTCCCTGCAAAGAAAACTGAGCCCAAGCAAAAAAACACAAATGCCAAGGAGGGAAAGCCTTTGAAAACAAAAGGAAAGAACCGCCGTCCTCGTCCTCTTTCGCCAGAATTAGGTTTGTTGTGCTTTCCTTATAAGCTCTGAATAATGTTTTAGTTGAAGAATTTGTTATTTTTTAATCATTTTTAAAGGTATTTTTATGGCTAATAGCTTTAGGCATGTTTTTTTGTGGAAAATGTACAGATTCTTCAGATGATTCCTACGTTTCTGCTGGAGAAGACCCAATGGAGGCTCCTGTGTTTGAGTTTACCCTCCAGGATACTGTAGCATCCGCTGGAGCAGATGTGCTACTAAAAACTATTATTGCTGGAACACCTTGTCCGGAAGGTAACATGTCTTACTTTGTTATAAAACCACAAAGAAGAACTTTTAGAAAAGCAAGTTGGGTTATGTCTTTCCATCTCTTTCATTCAAGTTACCTGGACAAAAGACAACACTGATGTCACAGGTATGCTAAACTACCTGGTCAAAGTGGAGGGTGAACGTCATAGTCTGCTAATAAAATCGGCTAAAACATCTGACAGTGGAAAATACTGTGTAACTGCTGTTAATCAGATGGGAAGGGCCACCAGCACTGCCACTCTTACAGTTAAAGCAGGTAAGCTCAGACTCTTTATATCACTGATTAGCAAATCCTGACTTAGATTGGAGGATGTGTAAATGTGTAATTTAAATAGAAAAATACTATCCAGACTGTTTTTTTATTTTATTTTACAATTACAAAAATCCAAACATATTTAGAGATTATCAACATAAATCAGGTCAGTGAACTAAACAGATGGTTTAATGTTTGACTTTATAAAAATCCATTGTTCTGTACTTTGTCTTCCCACACTGACATTGTATTTCTCTGTTGCTCCTTCACTGTTATCTCTCTAAACAAAATGAGTGTGCATGTGTTTGTGTGTGTGTAATATATTCCAGCTGAATAACCACAGTTATAGTTACCATAGAAACTAAGAGGTGAAACTGAACCTATAAATTGCCCAGTGAGTCTCAGTAGCTGCACTCACTGTGACTGCACTATTGTTTTGATCCAACACCGTTTTCCATTTTAGACGATAATTATGAGAGGTATGGAAATGGGTTACAGGTAGTTAGTAATGCCTTTTAACTCCATTGTTCTCACTGAAATGCAAAGCAAAATAATCCATGTTCATAGAGGCACAATCAGAAGCAGCAATCCTAATGATATGGAAGTGGCGAAGCAGTAGTGTTATTGCTCTGTCAGACTGCTCATAATAAGGTCAGTCAGTAACTAGTGATCTTTGACTTTTCTTTTAGCAATGCTTCATATGACATTTAAAAAAACTGCCAAAGATATTCCAAGAGAAAAAAATATATAAATTCCAAACTTTTGTTGATTCAGTACATATAAGATCTGAGTTTGTCGTCAACTATGGAAGTGTTCGCCTAGGTCTGTAGACTGTTTTTTAGTACCAGTCATAATTTTAAGAGTTTTGAGCAAACTGATTCTATCCGCCTAACCCTCCCTATGCTTTTTTTTATGCATTCAAATGCGTTTTTTTATTCTATTTTTTATTTAATCAAACAACTTCCAGTCCTGTCAATCTTGTGTCTTATTAACACTCAACACTAGATTAAGCATATTTTAGTTAAAAATTCAAAACTAATTTGTAGCAATTCTGGCAAACTGTCCAGCACCTCTGGATGGGGAAGCAGTGCTTTGCTGTCATTGTTTACAGTGGGAGTTGGGAGCTGCTGACCTTGACTGAGAACATTGCCGATTGGAGAAGTAATACTTTGATGATCTTCTAAACCCACCTGTCACATGGTGGCAAGGCTTAAAGGCCTTTTCGGGCTGTTGTAGTCTTTGTTCCGGCAAAAACTGGTGATTGAAAGCTAAATGCAAATCCAAATGAACACAGTTAATATAAACTACTTCTGGAATTTAAATAAAAAGAATGATTTTCATTCTTTTGCTTTTTGAAATGTCCTCAATGACAGATTCTGACACTAAGAAACCTTATGGCCACCCCTGCCTGACTTGTAACATACCAGACCCTGATGGTGGCTTATTTCCAGTTTGGCTTGGGCTAAACCAGGGCTTCACTACAATTCTATTTCATTTCATCTCAAGGCACTTTATGGCGACAATTCAACCAGATCATACAGTCAGATTGGTTCAAAGTTTTCTACTGTATCTAAGGGAAAACCAGCGGACTTAATCTACTCGTTGACTCGAAGGCAATCCCTCACACCAAGCATGCTTGTAGCAACAATGGAGAGGAAAAACTACCTCCAGCAGAACGTCGACTGGGGTTCAAGGAGATAGAAGCAGACATAAAAAAAGGAGCAGAAATAAAAGAGGCAACTGTCAACCACCTCCACAGGCAGCCCTGTCCAGGAAACACACAGCCAGGCAGACAAGCTCAGAGCCAACTCTCATGTCAGAAGATTAAAGAGAGCAGATACAGTTAGCCACAGTCAGAGAGACAGGGTTACACTGAAAAACCAAGCTCCAACATCTATAACAAAAAGATGTGAATGGCAGCAGCACAACTGATGTTTCTCTCTAGCATGCAGGCTGTGACTCCATGCTGGAGAGCGGAGCGACAATGGCATTGGGTGTAGGAAACCGAAGGGTTGATGCCCCTGCTCTGGCTTTCAGTGTTGTTGTGTCCCTGGGTCAGGGGGCCTGGTGGCACCCATGTATGGCAGCCTGGTTTCTGTCAGTGAGCCCCTGGGCAGTTGTATGTTATGCTTCATGATTATGTTGAGTTTCTGTCTACAGTTCTTAAACAGAACAAAATGGTTACTCCCTATTGGTTGGGGGTTAAGTCACCATCTCAAACAGAGGAGGTACAGTTTTTGATCTCTCCCGGAGCACTGATAGCATTCAGTGTAGATGGATTTGGGTGCAGCAGTTCTCAATATGCCAATTCATCTAGCAATGAGATTGATTACGAACAAAAGAGCAGGAATCTGGACCCAAGTAGTTGAAATAAGTATTCTGTATGTCTGGCTGCAAACTGTCTTAGAGATGGATGAGCGGCTCTGTCATTGTTGGGGGATGGGGAAGTGAGAGTCAAGCCACTGCATCCTAGCAATACGAGGAGTCAGTGGCATCAGTACAGGATACGTATTCTCACAAAGAGTGAATGCCACTGAAGACCAAGAATGAGATAGAGGGAGTAAATATTGCTTATCGCTTTAAAATGAGTGTGGAAGGTGTTGCTGGGAGGAAGGGTGGATGGATGGATGGATGGATGGATGGATGGATGGATGGATGGATGGATGGATGGATGGATGGATGGATGGATGGATGGATGGATGGACATTTTCTAACATGCTTTAGTTTAGTGAGTTTGTTCTAACATGCTTTTTTCACTCTTTATCTTAGAATCTGCACAGGAGCCAAGGGGAAGTTTGGGTGTGCCAATGGAAATCAGCAGCCCTATAACATCTGATGAGGAGTATCTAAGTCCTTTGGAGGAAGTTATGGATTTTGGAGTTCAAGAGCCAAAACGAACAATTGATGCCAGATTTAGAGAACCTCCTGCTTTTCTGGTCTGCTCATCAAGGACAAACTAACCTCAAGCAAATTTACTTTAAATGTTTTAGATGTTTCTTTTTAACCAGTTACATTTCATAGCAATTTAGACAATTCCAGTTAAAACTGCACTATTAGACTCTGTAATGGACATTATTTTTATATTATTGTTTTATGTTTATTCTGGAACAGGCGACAATGACAGACCAAGCTGTCATTGAAGGACAGGAGGTCACCATGTCTGTTCGAATTACAGGCCAACCCAAACCCATGCTTTATTGGTAGGTTCCCTCTGGATGTTAATATACTTATTTGCATAAAATCTCCAAATCTAAAACCAGATTCACATAAGTGCTGAGTTTGTTTTACTTAAATTGTCTGTTAAAAGGAGATTTAGGATGTTTTCTTGGGTTAACAGACTTACGATATGTAGACATTTTAAACAGCATCAACTATGGGATATGGAGGGAATTTTGTTCCATTACTGTTCCATTACAAAAAAAAAAAGAAGAATTTTGCTCTTTTTTTCAGATTTAATTTTTCCAAATTTTTTTTTATAGATTTTATAGTTCAGAATTTATTTGTTTGAAAATTTTCTCAACATATACATTGATTTTCCAAAAATCTGCTCTACCTCTGCAAAGGTCTGAAAGCTATCCACTGTTATTGCCTTGGAGAGCAGTTATTTTACAAGTTTTTATTGTTTCACATGCAAGGATACGTTCTTTTTCAGTAAAATAATATTGAAAAATATTATGTCTTGTGATCTTATTACAAGTGATAGTGTCAGTTACAGAAATTAATCTGTATTGATCAAAACCGGTATCGGCATGTCCTGGCCATTTTTTTTGGGTTAAACTGAGACTAAAATAAAGGAAGAAAAGGCAAACTCAGCTCTTAAAAATAGCATGAATCAGGCAGCATTTCCAAATAATCGGTTTTAGCATTGGCCTTAAAACGACATGCACTGGAATTAATAACTGCAAGGTTCCCAAATCTCAAAACTGCACAACCAGCCCAAATCCTCATTTTCAAGCACATTGATTGATGGATGGCACAGAGAGTTTGTTTTGTCAGATTTTACCGCAGACATAAGGCTGTGCATTACAGCCAAACATCTACGTTTTTTGTTTAATCCAGATGAATCTTTAGAAATATAAATGATGCTTTCTTATCCAGATTTATAAGTCAAGCCTTCAAATCATTCCTACATGCTTAATTGTGTCGGTAGCTTCTACCATAACCTGCTCAGTAAGACCTATAGAATCAGAAAAGAACTTTGGCTTAACAAGGTCCAGACAGGTATTTTTTTTGTTTGTTTATTACTTTTTTGTCATTTATTAGAGCAATGAAAGCTTTATCCTAGGGCAGAATTTGCTGTTACGTCAGGTGCCAAAACCCCTGCTTTTGTAAAAGGGCTCACTCAATTAATACTTTGCTGATACCATACCTTTAAAATCAAGAAGTAAAAATAGGGTAATTAGGATTTAACTCTTAGCTTTCCCTTAAAGGGTTTGAGCTTGACATCTGTTTTGCATTTTCTTCTCTTGTAATTAGTTTTCATTGACTTGAAAACCTGGTAGGTCAGTTTTATGATGCTCTAACAAGAAAGAAGGTAGTGCTTTCTGACAGCCATTTTAAGGATTATAACACAGCATTAAACCTTTTAAAATATTAATATTGAGATCTTAACATGACTTAAATCTGCTTTGGAAGGGACACTCTGGTCTTATTTGATCTGATTCCTGTCCAGTTGAAATAATTTTTGCACAACAGTTTAGTGTCAATTTCACCATTACAGTGGCTGTTTTTATAATGTCTTTTTAATTTAATAAGCAATAAAATCATAGATAGAAAATATTACAAACTGATAATTATTTTTTTCATTAAAGACAAAAGTTAAATAGTTATTTGTTTCTATAAACACTAAATTGAGTCTAAATGAAAAGATGGACACTCAGGAGATAATGTGACATGTTCTGTTATTTTTTACTTCATTATGTAACGATTAGTGCTGTAATGTTTTTAACATATAATATCACCTCTGTCCTCAAAATAGATGGAACAAGCTCAATCATTCCTGAAGGTTCTGTAAATGGAGTTCATCATGAATTTTAAACCCACAATAGCAGAAAAATAAAGAAGTGACTAATAAATTCCACCCACCACATATCTGACAAAACCAACATGAGGAAACATGAAAAGCTTGTTTTCACTATGGATGCACTTCATGAAAATAAAGCTCTGATAATTAATCATGGTTTTGTGCTCTTCAACTGTTTTCAGGCTGAGGGACAGAGTCACAGTGAAAACAGACCCCCGTCACATTGTACGCGAGACCTCAGATGGCACCTTTGAGATGACCATCAAGTCTTCAGTGAGATCAGACTCTGGACTTTACACCTGTCGCATCATTAATGAGTACGGGACGAAGCAGTGTGAAGCAAGGCTGGATGTTAAAGGTGTGCTTGGTGCTTTTTTTTAAGTAAAAATTATTTTAAAAAATTTAAGGGCAAATCACTTTGCACCTTCTTTGAAGAACTGCTCTGCATGCACAAACATGTTTCCACTCAAGGATGATATTTTGATTTCAAAAGTTTCAATATAACCTGTGCAACAATCCATGTAGATTAAAACATATAGTTTTAGAATTAATATGAGCTTGGATATATAAAATCACATTAATAGATTATATTTTTTCCTTTTTGGATGATAATAATAGTATATAACAATAATACGTTTTATTTATCAGCAGTTTTAATAAAACATATATATTTTCAAGGTTATTGAGAGTTTTATAATCTGGAGGTGGATCTTGAAGTGGAAATGCTGCTTTATGGAGCCAGTGAACGTCTTTCAGAAGGGGTGTTACACAGTTGTTTGAATGAAATTTACACTTTAACTTTTAAAGAAGTCCCTTAGGTCTCTATTTCTTTTTCAGACATCTTAGCTGCAAGTCTTATAACCAAACACACAAACACATGCACACATATGACACTGATTCACAGATTTGTGTAAATTAATACACCTGATATTACAACACTTTTAGAATATGTTACCTAAGAGAAGAACAAATGCCAAACAAAAAGTAGCAGATTCACACACGTCTGTTTGCAGACCCACGTTCTTCTCCAAGACTGTAACTCCTGGACAAAACTGCAACAATCACAGATCTGAGTCAGTGGTGCATCACATATTTGTAAAGTGAGATTCTCAGGAGTGGCAGTGGTGACAGCCAATCCCACAAGGAAAGATGGACGGCCAATTAGGAGCTTGTTGGTGGTCTACAGGGTCCCCTCAAATTACGTCCGTGTTTGCACTTCTTTTAAAATGCACAAACCTTCCAAAGATCAGGCCCTTTGTGACATTCGACTGTCCATCTTTGAACTTTCTGCAGCATTTCAGTCTGTCATTCAAAGTTTTCTTAAACTGAAGTGTCTGCTTTGTTGCCTGTATTGTTTGCAACTGGTGCCAATTCTTAGCAACCTATTTACTGGTCTCATTGCGACTCTGTGGCTTCATTCTTGGGGGGGGGATGGACCTTGAGCTTGCCCAGTTGCTTATTCAGGGAACTGATCTTTTAACTGCAAAGCAGCTGAAGCATTTCTTGTGGGAAAACTAATAACTCTGAGATTTGGAGCTGTGGAAGTATATTTTTCTTTGGCCTATTTGTGAGATAAAATATTTTGAGTGTGCCTTTCCTCATCCTAGATAGGGGTGATTGTTGAGAAGTCTTGTACCAGTCTGTATGCTGGAGTTAATTTATGTAGAAGTTAAGAGTGGGGATGACAGAAAGCAGATGCCTCCCTACTCTGGACAAGGGTGTAAGAATGAGTTTACACAGTGTCCTTCATGCCGTGAACGGCAGACCTGTTCTGAGTGTTTATCTGGCTAAAATCTATTTCCTTGATGAATTTAAGTGTTTTTTCTTGGGAATAACCAAATGTTCTTTGGTGAGAAAGTTCTTTATGTAGGGGTGGGGTGGTTCCAAGGGAGAGTGTGTGTATGGGGAGTTATTGTATAAATGTATGTACTAAGCCTGTCCCAGTCAAAGCTCTATCTCTCCATCTGAGGACGTTAAATAAATTTGAACATTCTCTTTCAAGAGTCTCAGCTTCCTCCTAAACTCCACAGAACTTTAACAACAATCAGGCCAATCATTGGATTGATTTAATTGGTTAGCATGGACATATGACTTTGGTGTCATTATTTCATCTCATCAGTTTGCTTGTTTTATTTATATTTAGCTCCTCCAGTTGAGCCTGGACTGTCCGTCATCCGTCCGGTGAGGGACATCACAGCGAAGGCCGGGGAGACGGTTTTATTCGAGTGTCATGTCATTGGACCAAAAGACACTGATGTGGACTGGCTCGCCGATGGGAAACTGATCCAGCCCGCCTTGCTAAACTGTAAGATGCACTTCGATGGGAGGAAGTGCAGACTGCTGCTCAATTCTGTGCATGAGGACGATAGCGGGACGTACACATGCAAACTCAGCACAGCTAAAGGTGGGGATCAGAGGAATATTTACCACACACGAGCTGAAGAAATTATTGTGTGTCAACTCTTTTATTGTGTGTTTACTTTTAGAGGAAATAACAACAAGTGGGAAACTCAAAGTCATCCCATCACTGGAGCCTCTGTTCACTCGGAAGTTGGACGTTTTAGAAGTGATTGAAGGTCGAAACGCCCGATTCGACTGCAAAGTCAGCGGGACTCCGCCTCCTAAAGTCCTCTGGAGCCATTTCGGTACGAGCAAATTTCGTAATATCGGTACAAACCACAGTGATGTGAAATACTATTCTCTCCTTCACAGGTTTGATCTGTTTTTAATGTTCTTATAGCACTTAGATGGTTCAGATCATTTAACCAGCTTTAATATCCCTCCATACCTGTGTCACCTCATGTCTGTAGCTAACAGTGGTTACAACTCACGCTCTTCAAGTCGTGTTCTTTTCACTATTCCCAGGATCAACACAGATCTTGGCAAAACATAATTTTCCTATGCAGCACCATGGTCGTGGCACAATATTCAAAACTCCCTGCAATTACGGACTCTTATTCCACAACAGCATTTTAAATCATTATTGAAAACCGCTTGCACAGAGAATTATAACTGTTAGTCTAGAGTCTAGTTTATGATTGATGATATTATGTTGTCCTGTGTTTTTATATGTCTCACTGTACTGCTGCCTCTTGGTCAGGTCTCCCACGAAAAAAGAGATTTCATCACAAGGGACTTCCTGGTAAAATAAAGGTTAAATAAAATAAATAAAATAAAACAAATATCTGTCAAAGATTGACCTGAAATTACAAAATGAAATGTTCAAATAATGGTTTTGTCTTAAATCTTGGAATAAAGATTATCGGCATTTTTTTTTTCTGAACTCATTTAAACTAGCAGCACTGATAACTGTCACGACAAACAAATTAATATATCACTTGACCCCTCTGACAACAGGGAGTAGGATCTATGATCACAAAAAGCACATCGTATCTCGAAGGCTATGGGTCGATTCGCATCGATCCATTTAGAATAGTTGGAAGTAAGTACTTTGATGTTGCTTTGAGCGATATCAGACGACCGTCAGCCACTGACTGGTTAAGTGACATTGTCACAGATCAGCTTGTTTAATGTTGAATAACTTTAATCATTTTAAACTGGGCTTCTTGTGCATGTAAACACTATTACAGCTAGCTAGCAGGAAGTAATGTTTGTCTACATTTAAATGTGGTATGGCTTGTTTCTTTCCATTTAATACCACATGGCTTCCATCTCTCCCCATTCAAAAAACAGGAAACTAATTTCCTTTGTAAATTGTCCATAAATAAAAGACTAGCCTTACTTCCGGTGGCATAGGCAATGCAAAAACAATATTTTCATCTTTCAGCGTTTGTGTTGCTATAGTCATCTGCGCACTCACAGTTGCTGTTGCATGGGTGGTTTCGATTGAACCTGGGACATGAACATGCAGTGAATGTGAAATTTACTGCGTTTGTGTTTACGGATGCCCTCCAGTTTCATAGATTGACAGCCAGTGACAAATTAATCATATCTGTTCTCTTTTGCATATTTGCTGCACACTGGACAGCTCATTCGCTTAGTATTATCTAGAAGATCCCAAAGTATCTACATTATTTTAAGGGGTGAGGTGTAAAACTAACACAGCCTTTTGAATAAATAACTTCTACCTATATTAAACAATGAAGTTGGTGGTGTCATGGTATGTGAAAGCTTTGCTGCCTCTGGATCTGGAACATTTGCTGTAAATAATGAAATCTTATTTTTACCAGAAAATCCTTAAGGAGAAAATGCAGCTGCATTTTCTCCTTATTTTCTCCTTATTTTGAGCCTTATGTACACTGTAACAAATTGCCCTGTATTTTCACAGTAAAATGCTGGCAGCAGGGTTGCCAGCATTTTACTGTTAATTATACAGTACCCTTACTGTAATCAACTTTACAGTAAATTACTGTCACAAAAGAAATCTTTTGATTACAGCACATTGCTGTTTTTATCAGATTTACAGTAGACTACTGGCAGCTGTGTTGCCAGTATATTACAGTTTTTCTATGGTATGATTACTGTTGAATTCACATACAGCTTACTACTGTAAATTTCCAATACAAAATAGAAACATAAAAAAAAACACTTAGAAAATGTAAGTTCCATCATGTCAACCAACATTTATTTGGGAAAAAAAAGAACAAACTCAAACATTGATTCATACACAGTCTTTAGTGGGCCACATAATAAAGAACAAGGTTTTGAAACGACAACGTATGTGTGCCTTAAACCTAAACATTTTCTACAAGAATGTTGAGGGTAAACTGTCCAAAGTAAGTCGTATTCTGGAAAAACAGTAAGAAAATAATCTATTTTGTAAAATAAATTTCTTAATAACTGATTTAAAGAGTTTTTGAATAAAGCATGAATTGTGGCCTTTTGATTAGTCTGAAATAAAATAAGTATGAAAGAAATTATGGAAATAATGCATTGTACAACTCAGCACACTACTTTTTCAATACAAAATACTACTTTTAGTTGAAGTGAGGACCAATATGATGCAACATAAAACAAATGAAACATTTAACTTTCAATCTAAAGCATAGAAAAAAATTGCGAATTTTAGTTTGATAAAAATTTAAATCAAACATTTAGACTTGAATTTCCTTTAGGGCAAAATCAGAGTTCCAACTTTAAATGATAAAACAATGACACAATATTTGACAACACACTGCCAAGATAAGTTAAACATTGTGCCTGTACAGTCAAAATTACAAATTACATCTTAAGAACAGAAAAATGGGAGCCTTAACAAAATGTATGACCCTTAAACCAAAAAAAAATCTCTCAAGAACACTCCTGTTCAGGGATGAGTTGCCTTCATGCCTGTATAGTTTTTTGTTTGTTTGTTTTTGCGTGGAGGGGCAACAATAGCTGGTTAGAAAGTTCCCACTAACCTATATGAAATTCCACTCGAAGTCCATGAGGTTTTTTAGCAGAGTTGAAACAGGGGTTGACAGTGACCGACTTCTTTTGAACAGTTTTTCCTGTCCTCTTGAAGACGATCTTGCCACAGCTGTCCTTGGTCCCTCTTTCAGGGTTGATATCACGAAAGCACCTGAAAATGCAGTAATTTTAGATTAGCATATGATGTTTAAGGAGTCAGGGTTTAAGGTGTGCTAGGTGGGAAAAGGGGGGGACGGACAGGCGGACACAAACCTTACCTCTGGATGAATTCAAGTGTACATGCAGCCTCTTCTTGATATTGTAGATAAAAGATGTAGTACACTGAAAACAGTGCAGCAAGCCCTGTCACAAAGGTTGGTTGAATGCCCTCACATAGAACATGGCTCTCGAGACTGATCATCCAGTGCCCAGCAGTCACATGGTCTTTTCCACCTGAAAAATAAAATAAAAAAAATTATAACAAGTACTGTGACTTCTACAAATTACCTTTACCATTATTTATAAAACAACATTTATTTAAAGATATTGTGTTTCATGCAATACAAATAAATCAAAACCTTGTCTCATCTGCATGTTATTGTATTGTATTGTCGTAAAAATCTTAAGCCACAATTACTTTTATTTTTCTTTGCAAAGTTATGGCCATCTTTATTCATTCTCCAGTTAGGTCATCTTTCTTAAGATTTCTACTGACAACCTAAGAACATATGAGCTAAATCTTCAAAAAAAGAAGTTTCTACAGGCAAAGTTGATATTGACCTAACCGTGAGTGATCTCTGCTGCCACTCAGCTTATCGTGAACTCTTGGCAAAACAAGATACAAATTTGTAGGTTATCTTTGACAGCTGTTTTGTGATCAACTTCCCTTGATTATTTCATTTTTTTTTTTTTATGACATTATTTTTAAACAAAATTGTAATTTTTCCATCTGTCAAATTCTTTGATCTTTGGCTTTTTGATTGGAATTGTAATAGAATGCATGTTATGCTTGACCCCCCAAAAAACCCAAAATAATCAACCAGAAGCTTTTTTGTGTGTTTTGTAGACAAATGTACACCGGTTACACTAAATACTCACTTTGGGCTGCAGAACACATTTTTTCAGAAAATTCTTTGAGGTATGGTGACCTATTTTCTGTCACGTCTGGTTGTATTACAATTCAAGGACTGAAAAATAAATATAGTCACTGAAACTTTGCAGTCCATGTCAGTTAACAGTGTACTCACAGAGTAGTGTCAGGCGTGGTGTTAAAGGCAGGTTGAAGGTCTTCTCAACATCAGTCACTGTGGCAGATGACTGTAAAGAACAAAGAAATTTCAGTAAGAACATTAGTTCCTCAGGATGAATTCAGATGTCAACAATTCAGTGAAATATATCAGAATAAATATTATGAAAATAAATTAACAAAACTAACATCTGTGGAAAGGATGAGGCCATCTGTGCTCTCTTTGAAATGGGCCATCAGTAGCTGGACAACATGAAGTGCCACCTCAGCATCTTCATCCTAAGAGAACATTTAAACAGTTTTCTGCCAAGTCAACTTTGTGAAACTCCAAATTCCCAGTTGATATCCATTCACCAATTTCACTTTAGCAGCTAATCTTAGCAATTCAAGTCAAATTGCACAAAAGAAAGAAAAAGAGCTTCCAAACATGTCAATATTTGTAAATATGAATCATCAAAAAATAACTAAGCAACAATGAAAACGGATTACTTTAATTATTTACCTTCTTATCTACAAGATATATCAAATAATGTTATGCTAGCTTCCTTATTACAGCATGACAGATTAACTAAGCTAACTTTCAAACAGCTATAGTCTGCTTAAAAATGACAACTGTATGACAACATCATCTGACAAATAAATCATGCTCCAACTTACCTTAGGATTGGCTCATAAAATGCAGGATTCAAATGGATAGTCCTTGTAAAGAAAATTCTAGAGGTTGTTTGCATGTCACAACGACGTGTCTTCTTGAGAAATACAGTAGCATTCTGTTTAAAGAGAGCCTCCTTGGCGTTGAATGTAACATCATTCCCAAAATGCAATGCAACTCACAGTATATTACAGTATTTTATTAAAAACAGTAATAATTGCCCAGAATGCATTGTTTTTCACAGTGCAGTACCGTTTTCAATAGAAACAGTATGATACTGTTCAGTTTTGGCCGTTTTTATACAGCAATTTGTTACAGTGTAGCCCACATGGTTTATGCAGCATGACAATGATCCAAAAAAACAGAAACAAGTCCACCTTAAAAAAAAATAATCTTGAACTTAGTTGAGATGCTGTGTAATGGCCTTAAATATGCATTCACTGTGGTTGTCTGTGTCTGATATGAAATATGCTTAATGATTAGAAACTTTAATGAACCAATCCTCTCCGGACTCTCTGGTTCAAACACACTCTGCCTTTTCTCTTCAGATCAGCCGCTCATCGAAAGCGAGGACATCAGAATTGTCCAGGAGGGTGGCCGTCATTCTCTCATTATTTCCCACGTGACCAACGACGACGAGGGTTTCTACACCATCAGAGCTCGAAACAGTAATGGAGAAGCCGAGAACTCTGCTGAACTCTATATACAAGAACCACGGCCAGCCATCTCCTCTCAGATGTAAGAGGATGGTAATTGCCTCAAACTCCTAATGTCTTTTAACTGAAAATATTTTCATTGAAATGTTTTTCCTTCTTCCTTTCAGGGCCAAACTAGAGAAGATGCCATCCATCCCCGAGGAGCCCGAGGTCCCAGAGAACGAATTGGAGCGCTTCACCATGCCCGACTTCATCAAACCTCTCTACGACCTGGATGTGATTGAGGGAAAAGAAGCTGTGCTGAAGTGCAAAGTGGCCGGTTTGCCATATCCTACCATCACCTGGTTCCATAACGGGAAGAGGATAGAGAGCACGGAGGATAGAAAGATGACGCAGTGTAGGCGGACCAACATGTGCATGATGCTCAAAGCTCCAATGCTCTGTTTTATATCCTTCAAAATGTTTTTGTTTCACCTACTTTTACCGGTAATGCTGCCTGCAAGATAAAATAATTTTGGTGGGATTTCATGTGATAAAACATCTAAAAGCAGTATGTAACTATTTCAGATTTTTGCAAGTTAACCTTAAAAGCGCGGCTTAAATTTGTATTTAAGCTCCTTTCATATCATTTTTAGTTTTTTTGCACATTTATAGAGGTAATTGTTCTTTGCAAAGTAACCAAATCTCAGTCAGATTGCATAAAGAGCTTTTCCATTGTGTCTTTAGCTGTATGTTTCAAGTGGCTGTTCTGCAGGAAGTTTTAAAAAAAGTCATTAACTGGTTCTTCTATATGAATATCCTGCATTTAGCTCCATCCACCAAACTATCAAACAAGACCAGTATTTCTTCCTATCCTAAAGAAAAACATTCTCCCAACATGATGCTGACACCACTATGCTGTACTGTAGGGAAGTTGCGTCATAGAGATGAGCTGTGTTAAGATGCACGTTAAGCAAAAGTTCCTATTTTGTTTCATCTGATTAGAGCCCCATCCTCATGTTTATGGCTCGTGGTAAACTGGAAACAGGACTTAGAGTGAGATGGGTGACTTCATCTTGGACTGCATTTGATTTGGAGGGGGTTGAATGTAAATGTATGCCACACTAATCAGATTTTCATTCGTATAAAGTGTTGAAACTTTGCATATTTTCCTTTATTATTTGTTTATTCCCATGAAATCCATTCAAATTTCCACCTGTTGGCAGAAATAACAACCACAAAGGAGCTTTGAATACTTTTGAATGCCACTCAAAATAAAGTCTCCGTTTTGAGAAAACGAGTGCCACCTTATATGAAACCTACAGTTCTATTCCTGCAGAAACTGGACCCAATTTTCAGCCTCTCCTCATCCCAGTCTGTTCTTGTCTCTGCAGTCCGAGACGTTCACAGCCTGGTCATCCGCTCTGTGTGTCACGCTCATGGTGGAGTTTATAAGAGTGTGATCGCCAATAAAGTGGGAAAGGCCACCTGCTATGCACATCTCTATGTTACAGGTAATTATCTTTAGTTTTTCGTCTGACATCTCAGGAAATAATCAATATAATCTGGCTCTCTTGTCTTTATATTTTCATTACAAGCAGTCATATGTTTCTATGATCTATCAAAGTAGTCTTTATTCAATGTTTTCCTTGTTTTCTGAAGGTCAGTCCAGTCCTTAAACCACATCATGACACCATATTTTGCTGCAAATGCTTGAAACACACAAAAAAACCATTAAATGATGCTCCGTGCCCCAAAACCCCCCTTTTAAGCAAGTGACAACCATGTAAAAATTCCTTTGTTTAAAGGGAAATTATTTTAGGATATCTGAGTCAATATAGAGAACCTCACTGTATGATTAAAGATCCAGTTTTAAACTTGTTTTCTTTCTGTTTTGAAACATCATTGGCTCGGTTCTGTGGTTGTGGAGGTTAGGCTTAAGAGAATCAACAAACCAAAAGTGTTCAGGTACTAGACTATAGACTTAAGGACACAAAAAAGGGCAGCAAACATCCCGCTGAACTCTTTAGACTAGCTGCTAGCTGCTGTCGTTATGCTGTTTATGAATAAATATATTTAAAATCTGTAAAATCATGGCCAAGTAAACTTAATTCTGGTTCTAAAAATAATGTATTTATAAACAGTTTCCTTTAAAACTTCAGAAAACCATGAAGGCAAGTGATCCATGTGGACCGTACCCCTGCAATGCAAAAAAAAACAAAAAAAACAGAAATATATAAATAGTTAATTTTTTTCTTAAAATAAGGGATTTTTTTTTTTTATATTTCTTGAAGGTAAGTGAGACACTGCCAATGGAACATTTACTTTTAAAATAAGAAAAAACTATTGCATTGTCTTATTTCAAGTGCATATTATCTAATTATCTTATTTTTAGAGTAAAAATACTAATTCCATTGGCAAACTATCTCATTTACCTCCCAGAATTAAGGGCAAATACACTTAACTTAAGAATTTTTTTTTTTACTTTTTTCTAGATTTTTTTTTACATTGTAGATCCACACAGGTTTCTTTTGTAGTTAGAAGTTTTAAAAAGTATGCAATCCAAATTTTCACCGCATCTATAAAATATTCTTCATATACTTCCTCCAAGTTTTATTTTCCTGTCCTCCTTTCTTAAGCTCCACCATCAACCGCTCCATCTCTCATGTTTCAAAATCTGTTTTATTGAGTCTTAATCTTTAAAATCTTACCATGGTTGATATATTGATTGATTGATTGATTGATTGATTGATTGATTGATTGATTGATTGATTGATTGATTGATTGATTGATTGACTTTATTGATCTCACAGTGGAGAAATTTGCTGGAACTGGTGGAAATGTTTGTCATTGGTTTATAGTGTACTTCTGCCCTAAGGTATTTATTTTGCTCTAATGGTGTAGAAGACTAGTATTTTGACATGTGGAATGCATCGTCACCCTGTCTTCTTCGTGGAGCCATGCCCATTAAGTCTTGTCATTTGCAGATATTCTCCCTGATCCTCCTGATGGAATTCCAGTGATTGAGAACATCACTGGGAAAACCATCACTTTGAGCTGGAAGAAACCCAGAAGGTTGGACCCTTCCATTGGTATGTAGGAGACTGCTGGCCAATGAACACAGTGGTCTAACAGTCAACTTATGTACAGAAAAGGAGGTTTTAGTGATGTCTATCTCACCTAGATCCCAGCTCCCTGATGTATGCCATCCAACAGCAAGCTCTGGGCTCCATCCAGTGGATTATAATTGCCTCTGGTCTAAAAGAGACAACCTACACCATCACCACCCTCTCTAAAGGTGTGCGCTATGCATTCAGGGTCCTGACCATAACCTCTAAAGCCTTTAGCAAACCCTCTCCGGCAACGGATCCGGTTCAGCTTCTGGACAAAGGTAGAGTCTAGACTTCCTGGCATCCAGTAATCCATCTGTGTTTGACACTGGAATAATAAATGCTTTATGTGGTCAATTTAAGGTCCACACCTTCAGGAAGCTCCAGTGATTATTGATAAACCAGACGTTGTGTATGCTATTGAAAACCAGTCGGTCACAATCTCCATCAATCTCAATCATGTCAACGCTGCCATCACCTGGAAAAGGTAGGACTTTTTAATGCTTCACTGCATTTCCTATTACAGCAAATTGAAACTTATTTGTTCCGCATCCCAATACTACATTCCTTTAGATTATATAATAAATAGTCAGGGCCTGAGCTTCACAACGTTTACCTGTACAAATACGGTTGCAAATTTGTTAGCATGCTCAAAGCTTGGCTACAAATCAGGTGCAAATCTAATTGTAAAGTAAGATAACGACAACCAGCAAATCTAATGCTGGTTGCAGTTGCAAACTCATAAGCAATTATTTCTGCAGTTGTTTTGGCCACATAGGAGCAATTGATTTAATGGCAGATAATGGGGAGAGGGTGTCTGTGCATGTTAATATATATGGAGTGGTAGGAGTAAGAATATTAGAATGATATAAGCTGGAAAGAGGAAGCAAGGATGGTTGATGCAATCGGATGCAAAGAGTTTAAAAATTCAAAATCATAAAAACCTCACAATTTTATTCACACAGTGTTGAATTTGAATACTGTTGTGTGTTTATAAAACATCAAAAATTAGGTGACTGACTGCAGAAAAACCATGATCCTTTAATTTTTTATCTGGTAATGATTAATGATGATTGGCCTATTTTGGTTTACAGTATTTAGGTTGAGCCAGGAGTTGGTGAAAATAAGGTCCAGTTGCTTAAAGTAAAAGTCATGTCGCTTCAGAGCAGTGGCACCACCAGGGGCTAGTCAGGGGTGGCCACCTTGTGCAATTCCCTGGGTATCCCACTGGCCACCCCACTCACCAGTGTAAATTGTAGTAGCATCAGTTTAGCATTTCATCCCATTATGCACAGCCAGTGACATAACATTAAAAATCACACAATAAACCAAGATATCAGTAGGTGTTTCCTTAAGTCTTTATGATTTCTACAGGCAGGTTTAACACAATAGTAGATTAAAACCCTGAAATTATGGATTTTAGTTTCAGTGTGCCACCCCAAGATTTTTATTGGCCCCATCTGGCCACCTCTATGAAGCATTTCTGGATTTTTTCTGGACTTTTTATGCCTTGCCATTAAACATCAGTAAAAAAGGAATGCCAAATTATTATTTAAGACAAGTCATAAAGGCAAACTCCCTTTTGTCAAATTTTATGCATTTTCTATTTTTCTAATCCTTCTTCTCTTTAAGATTTTTGTTTTTTGCCTTGTAGCTTTAAGGTTATGTGTTTGACTGACAACTAACTAATGTTAAATCATTATACTAGACTGAATAGATGATTACAAATGATAACAGATGAATACTGCTACAACTTCATGGCTTAGCACCTTAACTTTGCTTTACAGCCACTCCCATACTGCCCTTAGCTCAAACTATTTCCTCATTTAAAAAAATAAAAGTTTTCATCTGTTAATCACTGCACTCACATTCTTCTTTGATCACCCATGGCACTAACCTGACTCCGCCAGATGGATTTGCTCCGCATATCCATCTGGAAACCTTCCGTTGAAGCAATTTTTGGGAAGGGGCAAAAATACTGGTTAGCTGATTGGCCTATGTTGGTGATAGACAGGCCAAATAAACCAATCAGATCAACGAAGCATATGACGTACTAACAGAGCGACGACGAAAACACAACCACAAGCCAGGCTACTCTTGCCGAAACCAGTCGGGAGAAGAGCAAAAACATCTTTTCCTCTGAGAAAAGCCTCCAGAGCAGTGTTTTGCTCTTCTTTCAGTGAAGAAATACTCTGTAATTCCGATAAAAATTGCTCGATAGCCACGCTAACGCTAGTTTCATCGGCTGAAGCCGCCATGTTCTTTAGACTGAACTGTCTTGCTTCTCGTTGCGTCACACCTCAACCCGCCTCAAAGCCAATGCTGATTGGACGTTTGTTTGGTGAACGGCTCCAAATTTTCTTTAACGGAGAGTCTCCAGACTGATTAGCGAGTGAAACCTTGAAAGCTCGCGAGATCAGGATGGTCTCACGAGGCTACCGTAGCACAGCCACCAATTGCTCTGCATTTTTGTTTTGAAAAACGATGCCTTTTGTTGACTTGTAAACATACCTGTGAAGTTTATTCTGCCAGCTCCACCCTGATTAAAACAATCTTGACTACAGGAAAGGTGTAACTCTGGCAAACAAGCCTGGCATGTATGAGATGGGGATGCCAGATGACGACCAGCATACACTCAAGCTGCTGAAAGTTAAGAGTTTGGACGTTGGTGAGATGAGCTTTGTGGCCACCAATGAGTTTGGAAGTGACAGCTGCAGCTTCAGGCTGGAGACGGCTGGTAGGAAAATAATTTCTCTGGGTGGCTCTAGAGCTCTCTGTGCCCTCCGGTGTTCTGTCAGATGAGCATACCCAGTCAGACCAGCATACCCATAGTCATAATGTGTTTATCCCTTTAGTTTATCCCCGTTATCCCTTCAGTTTTGTACAAAAAATATGCTTTAAACTACCTAGGTAGTTTATAGGCGTGTATCCCTTTAGTCATGTACAAAAAAACTATTTAATTACTTATTATTTTGTGTTTTTTTAAGCCAATGGCGATCTCACTTTAAATTGTTTTTTTTGGACATAACTAACGGTATATTCGCACATTGAGTAAGTTTAAAGTGTATTTTTTGGTACAAAACTAAAGGAATAAACGCAAATCTGATGTCTTGCTCATATGTATTGACTATGGGTATACTGGTCTGATGGGGTATTCTGATCTGACAGAACACCGGCCATCTGCATGATTCATAAGCCTGTGTTGGATGCTAAACTCTGTCCACAGCTCCACCAACATTTGAGACAATCATGGAAGACCTGGACGTTTGCACTGGGGAGACTCCTCGCTTTGCTGTGGTTGTGGAGGGTAAACCTGTCCCTGACATCCTCTGGTTTAAGGTTTGGACCTAATTTCATGTACTAAATTAACTTATAGAGAATACATTGCACCTCAATACAAGAACCTTAATCGTGGCTGAAATTGGTTTGCAACAGTATCATGGTTTTGGTTTTTTTGGTTGACGATTTATAATCATTTATGGATCTATACTAAAAGCTAAAAGAAAGTTAAGACAAACAAAAGCTTCAGCTTGTAAAGTATTTGAAAGTTATTTAAAGCTCACTCAGAAAGATTCCAAATTATGAGCAGTCTTGAATAAGAAGGGATGCCATTGTAAAGTAGATTAAGAAAACATTAAATAAACCCCAAAAGCTTTCATTTTATAATGAATGAGAATATTTTGGAAGGTCTAATTTCCTGTTTTTATGACAATCAAGCTAAAGATTTGCGTAAAAAAATATTTAATTCAATTAGGTAGATCTGTACCTTATATTATTATGGACAAACATAGAGTTTGACATTCATAATAGAACACTGTGAAAAGTAAACAAGATTACTGGAAAAGTGGCTGAGAACAAATCTTGAAGATATCTTTGCCACTCACAGCATCCTACACAGCCGTCGGTTTCCTCTGTAAAGATGTGTACAAAAGTCTTAAAATAAAGGGTTTTTATGGAGATTTTGCTGCAGTTCTCCAACTGCGGGATGTTTTTACCTCCATACCATCCTCCTCACTGCGTGGTGAAGATAAACCTCACATACAGCTTAGCTCCTCACGGTTTTACAAGGTGTTATCTTTTCTTTTCCTGACTTACTTAAACCTCGTGTGCTTTTGTCTTTCCCAATTTTATAACTAGCTAAGATAAGCTAGCTTTTATGTTTAAGTGCTACAAGTCATGAATTTCAAAAGTGCTAAATACTCTAAGCTCAGGTATATAACTGAAATGTGTTTTAGTTGAATTATACGTTAAAGGGGCTGTCATGTGGAGCTAAATCAGAGACATCTTGCATTGACATCGAATGTGAGATTTGGCATTGAAAATTTAAACACTGAAAAGATAAACATAGAAATTTTGAGTATTCAAAGATTGAAAAGTCAAACATTAAATATAAAAAAAATCCATTGATACAGTCATTTTTAGCTGCAGCATTTTTTTCAAAGAGAGATGATTCAGTGTCACTGAGTTCCTTCAGCTACGATGTAACTACAAGCTGGGACTGTTTTTGTGTTGGGGGGTGGGGCTAAGCTAAATTGTTATTATCGTTTGGCTGTATGATTTTTTGCCCTTTTCGGGGCCGATTCGCTAGTCGCAGGGGATATAGAGGGATTCCCACTCAGGAATCGTAAAGTCAGAAGAAAATCAAACACGTTTGAAATGAAGTCGGCCGTCGTAAGGTGGTCGTGGACAAATTACTCAGTGGGCAAACAAGGATTCTTCTTCTTCTTCTTCTCAGATGAAAACACAGAAGCATGGCGGGGGGGTGCGAGTGAAATGAAGTTCTTTCTGTAAAATTGAGAGACCATAGTAGCCACGTTTGCTCAGCCATGCTCTGTCCAAATACGTCGCTACCTTTTCTTTTTAGGGCTTTCAGCACAAAATTGCACAAATTGCCAAGGCAGCGCAGTTCACTCTAGATTCATATTTGAAACTACTCGTTTCGGACTCGCTACTCGTTTGGCTTCCGGATAGACGAGTCCCACTAGCGCCATCTCACTGCGGAGCTGAGTCCGAAATGGTTTTTAGACGTACTGTGTGAGTAGGTAGATTGCATCAGAGCGTCAGGCCGAAGTGTGAGAACACAGATCGTGAGCTGTAGTTGTGTGCAACGATAAAAAAAAATCGTACAGTGTATGCTCGGCTTTAAGCAACAATTAATCCAGTAAGTTTAGATTTAAATTAAGCTACGTGATGACATATATTTCAAGACAAGAACAGGAACTCTATTGAGCTCACAATAGCTGTGGTGCTAAATCAGTAAAGGACGCCTGAAGGAGCCTTCAGTTTAGCCCCTCTGACACAAAAATAGTGCCAGTTTAGAGACATTGTAGCTGAAGGAACTCTGCAGTGACTTTGAAACCATCTCTAATAAAATAAATAAATAAATCTGCAGGATTTTTATTTTTTATTTTTAGTGTTTGCTTTTTTAGTGTGTGAGTTTTTAATGTTTGTACTAATCATTTTTTCATTTACATCATTTGAAATATCAGTGTGTAGCTTTTTACTGTTTAAATTTTTTTTATGCCAAATCTCACATTCGATGCAAGTGCAAGCTGTCACTGATCTAGCTCCATACTGTCAGATGTAACATGAAATGTTGCACTGTGTTTCTTTTTTTATTTCACTGCGGCCCAAACCCACCAAGATGAGGGCCCTTAGGAGCCATACTATGTTTTTTGAAATTGAAAATGGTAAATAATTACAACTTAAATTACTTTTCTTTTTATCTGCTATCAACACATTAAACAATCTGTAGAATTTGCCAGCCTGTTGCCAGTACTAATACTAATGCATTAAACTTCTTATCTGCTTTTGTTTGGCTTTAGTCTGAGATAGGTTGTTACGTCCACCAGGCTTCTTTGGTGGGGCTTAAAGGAGACCACACAAGGATTTTCTTTAAAGTGAAAATTTAATTTATTAAATTATACTAAAGAAACAAAAACCTGAAAAAGGGATAAATAAAATGTGGAAATGGAAAATGCAAAACCAATAACTAAACAGAAATAAGCAAATGCAAACAAACCTAACAAAACCCAACCATAGGATACAAACCAAACCAAACCAAATGGGGTTCTGAGGAGGTAAGAGGGAGAAGCCTCCTCTCAGCTGCTTGCAGGACAGCTTTTAAAGCAGACAAGCACCAATTAGGGCAAAATAGAACACCTGCAGAAGGCCTGCATTCAGAACCCTGCAAGGAAAGGGGAGAAAACCACTGCAGCATACAGGTGCTGGTCATAAAATTAGAATATCATGAAAAAGTAGATTGATTTCAGTAATTCCATTTAAAAAGTGAAACTTGTATATTATATTCATACATTACATACAAACTCATATATTTCAGATGTTTATTTGGTTAATTTTGATGATTACAAATGACAACAAATGAAAATCTCAAATTCATCATATCAGAAAATTAGAATATTACTGAAGACCAATGAAAACAAAGGATTTATAGAAATGTTGGCCAACTGAAAAGTATGAACATGAAAAGTATGAGCATGTACAGCACTCAGTATTTAGTTGGGCCTCCTTTGGCCTGTATTACTGCAGCAATGCGGCGTGGCATGGAGTCGATCAGTCTGTGGCACTGCTCAGGTGTTATGATAGCCCAGGTTGCTCTAATAGTGGATTTTAGCTCTTCTGAATTGTTGGGTCTGGTGTATTGCATCTTCTTCTTCACAATACCCCATAGATTTTCTATGGGGTTAAGGTCAGGAGAGTTTGCTGGCCAATTAAGAACAGGGATACCATGGTCCTTCAACCAGGTACTGGTAGCTTTGGCACTGTGTGCAGGTGCCAAGTCCTGTTGGAAAATGAAATCTGCATCTCCAAAAAGTTGGTCAGCTGCAGGAAGCATGAAGTGCTCTAAAACTTCCTGGTATGTGGCTGCGTTGACCCTGGACCTCAGAAAACACAATGGACCAACACCAGCAGATGACATGGCACCCCAAACCATCACTGACTGTGGAAACTTTACACTGGACTTCAAGCAACGTGGATGAAGTGCCTCTCTTCTTTTCCTCCAGACTCTGGGACCTTGATTTCCAAAGGAAATGCAAAATTTACTTTCATCAGAGAACATGACTTTGGACCACTCACCAGCAGTCCAGTCCTGTTTCTCTTTAGCCCAGGCAAGACGCTTCTGACGCTGTCTGTGGTTCAAGAGTGGCTTGACACAAGGAATGCGACAGCAGAAACCCATGTCTTTCATACGTCTGTGTGTGGTGGTTCTTGAAGCACTCACTCCAGCTGCAGTCCACTCTTTGTGAATCTCCCCCACATTTTTGAATGGGTTTTGTTTCACAATCCTCTCCAGGGTGCGGTTATCTCTCTTGCTTGTACACTTTTTTCGACCACATCTTTTCCTTCCCTTCGCCTCTCTATTAATGTGCTTGGACACTGAGCTCTGTGAACAGCCAGCCTCTTTAGCGATGACCTTTTGTGTCTTGCCCTCCTTGTGCAAGGTGTCGATGGTCGTCTTTTGGACAACTGTCAAGTCAGCAGTCTTCCCCATGATTGTGTAGCCTATAGAACTAGACTGAAAGACCATTTAAAGGCTTTTGCAGGTGGTTTGAGTTAATTAGCTGATTAGAGTGTGGCACCAGGGGCCATCAATTTTGAACCTTTTCACAATATTCTAATTTTCTGATATGATGAATTTGAGATTTTCATTTGTTGTCATTTGTAATCATCAAAATTAAACAAAATAAACATCTGAAATATATGAGTTTGTATGTAATGTATGAATATAATATACAAGTTTCACTTTTTAAATGGAATTACTGAAATCAATCTACTTTTTCATGATATTCTAATTTTATGACCAGCACCTGTAGGTAATGCCTAGAGAAGCAGTTGGCTGGACCGGCAAGTTGCAGGCTTAAGAGGGCAGATGAATGGCGAAAAAGCTGGTGACAGGCTGTACTTGCTTATGGAAGGCTTTAGACAGATGATAGCTATAGTAAATAGGCTGGTGGCAAAGCAAGTGGGCAGAAAATGACGGAATAGACTGCAAAATATTGAAATCTAAACAAGTAATTTTTTCTTAAAATATGTGTTTTTTTTCTTGAACTGAGGATTTAAGATCGACACTTTGCCAATGGAACAAGACAGTTTACATTTAAAGTAGGACAAAAACTATTGTATTGTCTCATTTCAAGTGCATATTATCTAATGGTCTTATTTCAAGAGTAAAAATACTAATTCCATTGGCAAATCATCTTATTTACCTCCTCAAATTAAGGGTAAATACACTTAATTCAAGAAATTTGTATTCATTTCTAGAAGGTTTTTGCAGTGTGGCTGAATAGGCTGATGGCTGGTTTGAACAGGTTAATGACTGCCTTAGGAAATCCAGGTTGAGACCAGATTCAGTTGATGAGGATCCACTTATATCAAGACAAGCACAGGGAGCCCAGCTGTGGACACAAACACTTGAGCAAAACCTTTTGTAGGCAAGGAGACAATCTGTTGGAGACTGACAAAGAGACAGATAGGCAGGATGACAGCTGGGAGGAATGAAGGGTCCCAGAAAAGACAGTTAACAGAGTGGGGCAGAGGTATCAAGCTGTATGACACTGAGGAGGAATTATTTTGAAAAATTCATCATTTTAATTGAATAGTTGTGGTAATTTATCTTTATGAAGAAAATGTCACATTAAACTCTTACAAAAAGTGGCCAGGTCGATTTGCTGGAGGCCCAAACTTGTGTTATTCTGGGACCATACTCCATTTCTGCAGAAAATATTATTTAAGGTCAACAAATGGCCCCAAGACAACACTTTATAAACCTGTTTGTGAAATGTTTAGCAGATTATACTGCCACAATAAAAGATAAAGCTTTGCCTTATTAAAATGATATAGCCGAGATTTATTGTTGACAGCATTATCTGAATTTAATATATAGCAAAACTTATATTGATAACTAAGTATATAAGCTTACGAAAGTACTTGTATAACAAATTACTTAGGATTTAGTTAAAAATAAGTACTTTTCATTTCAGGGGGACACCCTGCTGTCAGAGAGCAGTCACTACACCTTTGTCTATGATGATAATGAATGCTCCCTGGTGGTCCTAAATGCTCATCCTGAAGACTCTGGGGTGTACACCTGCACCGCCCGAAACCTGGCAGGATCTGTGTCCTGTAAAGCTGAGCTCACTGTTCATGAGGGTAACGTCCGAAACATGAAACAATTTTAAAAAACGGCTTACAGCAGTCAGCAGTGTTACTTTCAGTTAACTGAAAATTATTTACTGGGATTTTTTTATTTTTTTTCTGTTGGACTGTGCAGCTAAGAGGGAGGAATCCATGGATGATGAAGGGAGTTACATGCGGAAGATGCACAGATTGACTGATTATTATGACATCTTTAAGGAAATTGGAAGGTAAAGAGAGCTATTTAAACCATACAGGTGCTGGTCATAAAATTAGAATATCATGAAAAAGTAGATTGATTTCAGTAATTCCATTTAAAAAGTGAAACTTGTATATTATATTCATACATTACATACAAACTCATATATTTCAGATGTTTATTTTGTTTAATTTTGATGATTACAAATGACAACAAATGAAAATCTCAAATTCATCATATCAGAAAATTAGAATATTACTGAAGACCAATAAAAACAAAGGATTTATAGAAATGTTGGCCAACTGAAAAGTATGAACATGAAAAGTATGAGCATGTACAGCACTCAGTATTTAGTTGGGCCTCCTTTGGCCTGTATTACTGCAGCAATGCGGCGTGGCATGGAGTCGATCAGTCTGTGGCACTGCTCAGGTGTTATGATAGCCCAGGTTGCTCTAATAGTGGCTTTTAGCTCTTCTGAATTGTTGGGTCTGGTGTATTGCATCTTCTTCTTCACAATACCCCATAGATTTTCTATGGGGTTAAGGTCAGGAGAGTTTGCTGGCCAATTAAGAACAGGGATACCATGGTCCTTCAACCAGGTACTGGTAGCTTTGGCACTGTGTGCAGGTGCCAAGTCCTGTTGGAAAATGAAATCTGCATCTCCAAAAAGTTGGTCAGCTGCAGGAAGCATGAAGTGCTCTAAAACTTCCTGGTATGTGGCTGCGTTGACCCTGGACCTCAGAAAACACAATGGACCAACACCAGCAGATGACATGGCACCCCAAACCATCACTGACTGTGGAAACTTTACACTGGACTTCAAGCAACGTGGATGAAGTGCCTCTCTTCTTTTCCTCCAGACTCTGGGACCTTGATTTCCAAAGGAAATGCAAAATTTACTTTCATCAGAGAACATGACTTTGGACCACTCACCAGCAGTCCAGTCCTGTTTCTCTTTAGACGCTTCTGACGCTGTCTGTGGTTCAAGAGTGGCTTGACACAAGGAATGCGACAGCAGAAACCCATGTCTTTCATACGTCTGTGTGTGGTGGTTCTTGAAGCACTCACTCCAGCTGCAGTCCACTCTTTGTGAATCTCCCCCACATTTTTGAATGGGTTTTGTTTCACAATCCTCTCCAGGGTGCGGTTATCTCTCTTGCTTGTACACTTTTTTCGACCACATCTTTTCTTTCCCTTCGCCTCTCTATTAATGTGCTTGGACACTGAGCTCTGTGAACAGCCAGCCTCTTTAGCGATGACCTTTTGTGTCTTGCCCTCCTTGTGCAAGGTGTCGATGGTCGTCTTTTGGACAACTGTCAAGTCAGCAGTCTTCCCCATGATTGTGTAGCCTATAGAACTAGACTGAAAGACCATTTAAAGGCTTTTGCAGATGGTTTGAGTTAATTAGCTGATTAGAGTGTGGCACCAGGGGCCATCAATTTTGAACCTTTTCACAATATTCTAATTTTCTGATATGATGAATTTGAGATTTTCATTTGTTGTCATTTGTAATCATCAAAATTAAACAAAATAAACATCTGAAATATATGAGTTTGTATGTAATGTATGAATATAATATACAAGTTTCACTTTTTAAATGGAATTACTGAAATCAATCTACTTTTTCATGATATTCTAATTTTATGACCAGCACCTGTATGTCTGTATTTGGGATAGTCATTTTAAAGTGTAGCTGGAGACACATTCTCTGCTGCTTTCTTTACCCACAGGGGTGCATTTTCCTACATCAAACGAGTGAAGGAAAAGGCAACCAAAGCAGAGTACGCTGCAAAATTCATCTCCAGTCGAGCCAAGAAGAAAGACTCTGCTCTGAGAGAAATGAGACTGCTGTCCAAGCTGGACCATGAGAGGGTTCTTTATTTCCATGATGCGTTTGAGAAGAAGAACACGGTCATCATCATCACAGCGATGTATCCTTACTAAAAAGCCAAAATACACTAAACTCAAAACTTATTTAACATGAGTTAGGTCTACAGTCTGAAAAAGGGCAGTGATAGCCTTAATTCATGTTTAAAGATGCCAGGAGGAGCTTCTGGACAGATTCATCAGAAAATCTACAATTCTGGAGTCTGACGTAAGTCCTGGGCTGGTTATTATACAGCAAATATTCACTATACTAGTTACTTTATGGGTTTTAAAAAGCTTGTTAACCAGAGATTCAGTTTTTGTCCGTTTGATCCACAGCTTGCTGCTAGTTCTGTTAAATTGCAGCAATGAAAAATGAAGTCTGATTTTGAAAGACCAGCAGCGCTGTTTGCAAGACGCAGTTCACACTAAATAAGTATCTCCTTAAAGGTGCCAGTGATAGAAACAATAAAAAGTAACCTCAGGAGAATAACACATTGTAGAGCTGATCTTCCTCAAGTGAACAATCACAACAGATTTAAATCCTCTTTTTTCATTTAGACTTAAATGCTTATTATGAAGAAGAGGATTTCATTAGATGGGGCTTCATTTGGAGACATTATAAGATATTCAGGACATTTACTTTTGGATGGGAGTTACAGTAAGATCAGAGTCCATATTCAATATATGGTAAGCTTCCCTCCATCTCTGGTATTTGTGTCAATTCAAGCTAAATATCCAGACTTATTTACTCTCAAGTCAGACAAAACTTTTCTTTTTAATACTGAAAGGATGCTGAAGCTAGCTCTCAAGGAAAAAACCAAAACTAGAAAGAGAAAATAAGCTCTTTTCAACTCTTAATGAATCAAGGCGCCAAATTTATTTTCCAAATCAATGTTCTTTGACTTTGACTCTCAATTCCTTTTTTCTTGGTGCAAATTTTTTTCTTTCTTTGTCTTTGGTTTACGTCTTCTGTTGAGTTCCAGACATACCAAACATGGCATATGGTTACCTGCATACTTACTATTTATAGAAATAAGTATGTTTCATCAATGTGTTTTTGTAGAATGGGTGTATTTGATTGTAAGTTTTCCACATGGAGGCCTTGGTTTGTAAGTTGCACAGCCACATGCCGCCTACAGAAGTAGGTTTTTAATCAGACACAGGAGCAGCAGCGGGTTGCAGACCAAAGAGGAGCAGAGCAAGAAGCAGGGCGACCCTCTCTCTCTGGCCAATGCACCCACCACCCCCACCCGGCAAGATAATTATGTAATGAATTGCTGCTTTTTCTGCTCAACAGGTGCGATCATGCATTCGACAGATACTGGAGGGCTTAGACTACCTTCATCATCTGAACATCATTCACCTTGATATAAAGGTAGATTCTGTTGATATTTGTCTTTTCCTCTGTTTCAAGTTGTCATAAAATATCATCAATAATTTCACAGATTTCTTTCATAGATTAATACTTCTTTCAGAGTATCATCATTTTGTTGGTTTATTTTATTTCTAGCCTGATAACATCCTCATGGCAGATCTCCAAAGTGATCAGATCCGTTTATGTGATTTTGGAAACGCTCTGGAGGTCACGCCTGATGAGGCTCAGTATTGCAAATATGGCACACCCGAATTTGTCGCTCCAGAAATCGTCAACCAAACACCTGTTTCAAAAGCTACTGACATATGGTAGAGGCTCTTACTTGTTAAACATTTCATAATAAATCCTTAATGTTCTTAAAAAAAACTCACTTTAGGTTATTTTTTTTTTTTAGGCCTATAGGTGTTATAACCTACCTGTGGTAAGTAAATCCTAAATCAGGCTTAATTTTCAGCATTCTTTCTCATATGCAACACCCGGATTTTCAAATGACTTTTGTTAACTTCCTTTATTATCAGCTTGACAGGAATCTCCCCGTTTGCCGGGGAGAGCGACCGCAGCTCTTTGCTGAACATCAGGAACTATAACGTGGCTTTTGAGGAGAACATGTTTGCTGATCTTTGTCGAGAGGCTAAAGGCTTCATCATCAAGCTGTTGGTAACAGACAGACTGTGAGTAACGCTATTTAGTCTCAAAGCGTATATGGTGCATTCCTGAATCACTTTTCTGAACTGAGAAAATTGATAAAGATGATGAATTTGTGTTGCATAATAAAAAAATAATCTTGAACATTGGAACTTGATTTTGTTGGTAAATGGTGGAAATGTTGGAAAATTAAGTAGCATATATGATATGTATATGCACATCAGATGAATTGAAATAAATGTATTTGATCAAATTCAACATTGAATAAAAAAGTTTCAAACAGATAATACGGATTGATAATAAAAAAACACAATGAGATTATTATAAATGACATGAAAAATTATTTTAATATCCGAAATCATTAAAAATGTATTATTTATCTCTTTCCAGCTGGATGTTTAGCTAAATCTGTATACAATTCTGTAACAATTTTAATACTTTTTTTTTTTGAGAAACTGCATAGTTGTGTTTTATAAGAAGTGGTTCATAGCTTTTAGTAAAATATCAACTTCTAAAACTACAGTTCAAAAAACAACATGATGGTTTTACTTATGAATGTAGACCTGATACACATAAAAAAGTTTTGGTTTATATGCTTAGGGATACAGTTTGATATGGTTTGAGTTCGAGCTAACTGAGAGTCGGTCGGGATGAATACACCCGACAGGGTTTTCTGTAGGAGGGGTTGTGTAGCTCTGAGCCAGAAAGACCCCATGTCTATTTTAGTCGCGCTACGCAGCAATTCAGCATTTTCATGGGCCTGACAGGAAGTGACGGTTAAATAAATCGCATCCGCTTTGGCAGAAAACACAAAATTAATCCAAGTTGAATACTTTTTTTAGTTTTCCATGGTTCAGAGTCCTGTAATTTTTTTTCTGTAATCCATCTTTTGCGGAACACAATAATACTATCTCTACAAACAAAGATGAAGAAACTTAAACATAATCTAATTAGGCTCAGAAAAAGAATTTAAGTTAGCAAGAAAACTCAACAATTGTACTTTACTTTGCATGATTTGTTTTTAGGAGACCAGATACACAGGAATGTCTCAGACACCCATGGTTCAAGGTAAGCACAAGTACATAATCTGTATTTAAGCTCCAGATGACTGTATAAGGCCTTAGCCATTCCTAGATATTTACTGTAAAATGTAATGTTGTGACGTACAGATACTAAGCAAGGGGAACACCATCAGTACAGAGGGCCTGAAGAAGTTTGCTTCTCGTCGAAAATGGCAGGTGAGGGAGGTATTTCTTTGTTATAATGCATTTCCTGCACAAAATGTTTTGATGTTCTAACGCTGTGTTGATTACTTTTTAGCGTTCTATTATCAGCTATAAATCAAAAATGGTCATGAGATCCATACCAGAGTTGTTGAATGATTCCTCGAACCACACCTCCATTGCAGTTCCAAGGCACCAGAAAGAGGGCTCGCCTCTGCCATCTTCATCCTCTGATTCAGATGAAGATATCGATGAACTTCCTTTTATTCCGATGCCACTTAACATGGACTTCTCTGGATCAAGAATGTCACTGAATGACATTCAGACCAATGAACAGGAAACAGGAAAGGAGAATAAAAAAAGTCAGTGGTCTGGATCACCTTCTGATAGCCAGCAGGCAATGGAGTTTTACTCTCAGGAGCAGGAAACATTAAGAAGTGAGGCAGGAGGGAAAGGCCATCTTCGAAAACGCTCTACTGAAGACAGTGACAAAGGTTTTTCAGAAGAGTCACCTGCTGAATTGATCCGGAAATCAGAACTATCAAGAAAACCCCTTAAAAGAGGATCAAGCATGGAGTCTGACAAGGTAGAAGGAGGCCGGAAAAGAGGAGAACTACGGCGTGGTGGTTCAGCTGATAGCGCTCTGCTGCTACGGATTACTCCAGAAGAAGGAGCTGCGGTAGAAAATGCTGAAGAAGGACGGAGAGTTTTAAAGAAAGCTGTCTCCATGGAACTACCAAGGAGGAGCACCAGCCCTGGAACTGCAAAGATGAGTCAAGAAGACTATGCTCTTAAATTGGAGCTAATGAGACAAAGACTGCTTCGTGGTGGTTCTGTAGACAACAAGATGAGTGGTCTGAGAGGACCTCTTTTGGAGACATTAGGGATGGGCGATGAAAAGCGAGCAACACCATCAGATCACTACTCTCGCAATGTTCGTCTTGGCCCACCTCCACTAACTAGAGCTGCATCGAGTGACTTTGCAAGGGACGAAGTTCCAAAAACTAAAGTTTTACGTAAAAGCACTTCTTTTAGTCAGGGCGATTCAGAACCCATACCTTTACATCGCAGATCAGGAGCACCTCTGGAGATCCCTGTTGCACAAATAGAAGAACGGCGGCTAAAAGAAGCTATTTCCATGTCAGCTCTGACAGAACAAACAAAGTTAGATTCACGTCCAGAGACTCCAAGAGAATCTTCTCCAAAACCACATACTCCAGAGCCTGCTATAACAGAAAAGCAATCCAAAGCAGAGAGTCAGTATTCCCTTATGGAAAAAGAGATCAGAACAGATGATAGCATTAGTGAAAAGATGGATGGACTGACTGCAGACATAAATTTTGATGAAAGGTCAAGCACAAGTGGATTCTCAGAGAAGGACATGAGTATTTCAGAGGAACCATTGATTGAAACAGAAAATGTGGGCCAGACAATTCCCACAACTCCTGATATGGTCCAAAGCTCTGGAGCAGAAGAGAAAGTGTTAGAGGAGAAAGAAGAACAAAGAAAGGTGCATGAAGAAAAGCAAGAATTTGCAAAAGAAGATGAAAAAAGACTTGACCACACAGCTGAGTTGTTTAAAGAAGATGTAGAAAAGACAAGTACCCCAAAAAAGTCTTCTGAGATGATCATAAGCACAAATTCCGTTATGATGAAACCAACAAAAAATATTAACCAGCCCCCAGTTGATGTCACTTCCACATATATAACACCCACACTTCCTGCCCGAGTTGTTCTTCCAGATGGAAGAATGTCAGCTTATGCCAGTATAATGCAGACCATCGTAGTGCCTACCCTTCAGCCTCTCAACCCATCACCCCTAGCCCCTTCTACTCCAATTGTTGTTCCAGCGACTACTTCAGCCTCAGCTACATCTCAGGCATCTTCACTACAGATCACATCATCCAGCTCACCTGGCTCACAGAAGCCAATCATGTCAACCACTGAGCACCCTGCAGTCTACTCTAGAGTAGCATCACCAGAAATGATCACCAAAGAACCTAGCCCACCAAAGTCCTTTACACAAACATCATCACAGCAAGAGCTCTCAGCTGGAGCTGACTTAGAAAATATGACCTCTGAAGAGGTCTTCGAGACCCGCTTTAAAAAACGCGAATCTTCCCTTTCAAGGGGTCTGAAATTTCTATCAAGATCAAAGAATGAAGATTCATTACCAACAATCCAAGCTACAACAGAGACATCCGAGGAGATATACAGACCTGGGCCAGTTGGTGCTCCATTACAGTTGGCCTCAAGGAGACTTGAAGAAAAGTCTAAATCGGTCCAGGATCTTCGTGAAGCTCAAAAAGATCAAGGCTTCATGAAAAGGCTCTCTATGCGCTTGAAGAGAACTCCGTCGACAGAGCGCACTGATGAATTATTGAAAGAAGATGATTCCACTGGTTCAAGACGTCGGCTCTCTTGGACTCTGGGCAGACGGGGTTCTCAGGAAAAGAAAGAGGTAGAGATGACAAAGATGGATGGAGAAAGTGATAAACCAGTGGAAGAAAGGGAAGTAAAGAAACCTAATGAATCACCAGTGTTGGCAATGCGGAGGAAGATTGAATCAACTGTGGCAGGGATTTCCACAAGAATTCGTAGTTACTCAGAAGAGAGACGGGCCTCAGAAGATAAGGAATCAAAAAGAACGCCAATTCTTTCAATGCTTCGTCGGTCAACATCAGAGAGTCGTGCTATGAAGACTGGTACTGTTCCTCAAAACCAGCTGTTGACTCAGGCCAGTAATGGGGCCTCATCAGAGTCACTTGACTCAATGTCGAGCCTAAAATCCGAAACATCAAAGGGTATGGGACACTTAGTTATCTTCTTGATTTATCATATTTGGTATAATTCAATCAAAGCTAATCTATCCTGTTCTTTTTGTAATTCTTTTATATAAAGGTATTGAGGTTGAGCGGAGATCAAGATGGGATAGATGGGGCTTGACAAGAGGGAGACGAGACAAAACAGTATCTCAGCCTGACATACCGACCGCAATCTCTCGAGACAATAGTTCCTTACGTTCACGCCAGTACTCCAAATTAGCTTCTGGTAAGATGTTGGTGCTGTGTCCTACTGTAGTTGTAAGTATTTATATAAAAAAAGAAAACTCATGGCTTAAAGATAAGTACAAAATAGAAACTTCCTTCTTTTTTTTTTTTTCCAAATGTCTATTTATTAAAATATTCGCTCCTAAAATCACATCCCCAAAGCACATACAAAGGGAAACGAAAACAAAAGATGTATAGGACAGCTGACAGTGGTTGTGATGGTTGATTCAAGATGTAACCCAATCAAAGCTAGCACCCTTTGTGCCGGCTTACATATATATATATATATATATATATATATATATATATATATATATATATATATATATATATATATATATATATATACACTATATTGCCAAAAGTATTTGCTCACCCATCCAAATTATTGGAATCAGGTGTTCCAATCACTTCCATGGCCACAGGTGTATAAATTCAAGCACCTAGGCATGCAGACTGTTTTTACAAACATTTGTGAAAGAATGGGTCGCTCTCAGGAGCTCAGTGAATTCCAGCGTGGAACTGTGATAGGATGCCACCTGTGCAACAAATCCAGTCGTGAAATTTCCTCGCTCCTAAATATTCCACAGTCAACTGTCAGCTGTATTATAAGAAAATGGAAGTGTTTGGGAACGACAGCAACTCAGCCACGAAGTGGTAGGCCACGTAAACTGACGGAGCGGGGTCAGCGGATGCTGACGCGCATAGTGCGAAGAGGTCGCCAACTTTCTGCAGAGTCAATCACTACAGACCTCCAAACTTCATGTGGCCTTCAGATTAGCTCAAGAACAGTGCGCAGAGAGCTTCATGGAATGGGTTTCCATGGTCGAGCAGCTGCATCCAAGCCATACATCACCAAGTGCAATGCAAAGCGTCGGATGCGGTGGTGTAAAGCACGCCGCCACTGGACTCTAGAGCAGTGGAGACGCGTTCTCTGGAGTGACGAATCGCGCTTCTCCATCTGGCAATCTGATGGACGGGTCTGGGTTTGGCGGTTGCCAGGAGAACGGTACTTGTCTGACTGCATTGTGCCAAGTGTAAAGTTTGGTGGAGAGGGGATTATGGTGTGAGGTTGTTTTTCAGGAGCTGGGCTTGGCCCCTTAGTTCCAGTGAAAGGAACTCTGAATGCTTCAGCATACCAAGACATTTTGGACAATTCCATGCTCCCAACTTTGTGGGAACAGTTTGGAGCTGGCCCCTTCCTCTTCCAACATGACTGTGCACCAGTGCACAAAGCAAGGTCCATAAAGACATGGATGACAGAGTCTGGTGTGGATGAACTTGACTGGCCTGCACAGAGTCCTGACCTCAACCCGATAGAACACCTTTGGGATGAATTAGAGCGGAGACTGAGAGCCAGGCCTTCTCGTCCAACATCAGTGTGCGACCTCACAAATGCGCTTCTGGAAGAATGGTCAAAAATTCCCATAAACACACTCCTAAACCTTGTGGACAGCCTTCCCAGAAGAGTTGAAGCTGTTCTAGCTGCAAAGGGTGGACCGACGTCATATTGAACCCTATGGATTAGGAACGGGATGTCACTTAAGCTCATATGTGAGTCAAGGCAGGTGAGCAAATACTTTTGGCAATATAGTGTATATATATATATACGATGCTAGATACCATATCAGGGAATTTGGTGTTCTGTTGGTTGGACAGTAGAGCATTCACCTTATTTAAAGGGTGCAAAATCCCAGATTTGACACTAATTGGTCCCTTAGCAAGACTCTAGCCCCCTGAATGAGTAATGCAAATAGCTTCTGTCTGTTCCCTAAGGTATGGTGATAAATCAAGAGGACAAATTTTCATAATTATGAAAAATTAAGAGATTTATAATACTTGGAGGACCACACTCAAAAATGTTGATGCAGCAGAGGAAGAACCATGTTTAAAGTACCATGTTCTTCTTACATGCCTTAGGGCAAAACAATTGATATTAGGGAGCAGGTTTGATGAACTGTCTTTAGATTTATTGTTGTTTGGATATTGCTATCTTAAGAGTAGGAGCTACTCTGATAACTGTGGAAAAACAAAACTGCACTCCATGTTTCTTTCTGATAATTAATATTCATCTTTTTAGGCAGTTTTGATCAATAGTTTTCCATGCGTTGCCATTGTCATCCAAATTCAGTGGGGCAAAGACATGCAAATAAATAGGGTTCATAATAAAAGGGGCTTCTAATAGTGTAATGGCTGTCATTAATGTCTTGAAAAGAGTGTATATATACTTCGCATGTCTGAAAACACATTAGTTTGTGTTAAAAGTCTTTTTTTGCTTTTAGATGGAAGTTTTAGTTTGGCTTCTAATAAAGGTAATTTTTCAATCAAGGTTGTGTTTAAATTTGGTCTTTCCTCCTGTACCAGATTTTCCTCCTGTGTTCCATATAAAGCTCAGAGATCATGTCCTTTTGGAGGGTGACCCAGTAACCCTCAGCTGTCTGCCAGCTGGAAGTCCCCACCCACACATTACCTGGTTAAAAGGTAAGGCTAAAAATGTCCACTAATAAACGATGACTTGACATTGTGATTATTTAAAAATCTATTCAAATGTATTCTATATAGCATTTTTAGAAACTCCCATTGAGGTCTTGTGTCCATGTAGACTTGTGTTGCAATGTAACAGATATTCTCATTTTGATATGTTTATACTCATGCACATTTTTTTTCTCAGACAAAAAGCCTTTAGAGATCGATGGAAGAATGAATATGATTTCCTGCCCCGATGGCCGACAGCTGCTGATGATCATGCAAACCACCAAAAAAGATGCTGGGGTGTATGAATGTGTTGCTACAAACCCCCTGGCCTCTGTATCCAGCTCTTGCACCATCTCCCTTGCTCGTAAGAACAATACATTTATTGGAATGCAAACCATTTTTATGAAATACCTCTATTCTAAATATGAACTAAAAATATTGATAATAATTAAATTATTATGTATGTTGTATAGGCCTGCCAAATCGTCCTGGGACCCCAGAGATTCCTCAGAAATATAACAACACTGCTTTGGTGGTGTGGCGACCCTCTGACACCATGGCCCCTTGCACATACTCTCTAGAGAGAAGAACAGAAGGTTTTATGGCTTACATAATCAACAGTTTAAAGCTTATTTTACCTTGATGAATTCAGCAAATCCATAGACAGAAAACCCTGTCAATGTGAATTTTATGTTAGGAAAATGTTGTAAGATTTACTCTTGCAGTTTACAGAGAAAAAACTATCTGAGAAGACTACACCTTCTTAGTGCTAAACTAAAATAATTTTTCTACAAATACTAGTAGTTAGCAACATTGTTACGTACAACTCTTTTTTCTAAAGAAAATGTTTGGTCTCTATTAAAGTTATCTTTATGGTTCATCTGGTATTTTCTTAGGTGACAGTAACTGGCTGATAGTGGCAACTGGAGTGGCAGATTGCTATTACAATGTCACGGACCTGCAAGCAGGGGCCTCCTTCAGGTTCAGGGTGGCTTGTGTCAACAAAGCTGGTCAGGGCCCCTACAGCAACCTGTCAGAGGTTGTGACTCTGGATACCACAGGTATGTTACTTCATCAGTGTATTGTAATGTATTTTTATGATATATAGGTTTCTGAGGTCCATCTTCCTATTATCTTTAGTAGAACCATCAAAAACCAGTGCTTCTGTAGTTGTTAAGACTGTTCCTGCCACAAGTCCTCCACCACCCATGGTGATGATGTCATCCATGAAAGTGCCTCCCATCAAACCAGCTCCCAGTAAATCCACAACTGTAACTTCAGTGTCAGCTCCCGTTTTGTCAGTGGCTAAGTCTCCATCTCCTGTAACCATCAAGCCAGTTGAGGTCAGTCCTGGACATACTGCAGGAACTGTGCCTACCAGCTCACCCTCTGCTGAACAAGCTCCAGTGCTCACAACAGTCGCCCAAGTCACATCACCAAAAGCAAAAACCTCGATCAGTATCAGCATGAGCAAACCCCAGGCAAAGCTTACATCTCCACCTGTGGTTCCACCCAAACCTCAGAGTCCTGTAGTTGGACCCCCCACCATGACCATCAAACCACCTTCTCCTGTTTCAACCGCTGCTTCTCAGATCGGGAAGCCTATTTCCTCTGTGCCACTGTATGTTCCAGCAGCAACAACTCGTTCCACCCCAACTTCTCAAGCTGCTTCTACTCCAACAACTACAGCACATTCAGTCACTTCTGTGACAATGTCCCCACCGGTTGTGATAGTGCAGAGCCTCACACCAGTTCTACAGAGAGGGGACAGCTTAAGTACCCCTACTGGGCGGATCACCCCATCCGGACGTCTCACACCTTCTGGACGCAGGACACCACTGGGAAAGCCAGTGGAGGGATCTTTACGCCAGGGGGTTCCACAGAAACCGTATACCTTTATGGATGAGAAAGCAAGGTAAGACCATGTCATGGTGTGTGAAACTATGCTGGCAAACGTTCACTGAACATTGTTGAACCATTTTAGTGCTGTCTTTCTGGTTCTTACAAGATTTATTTCTTCAACAGGGGTCGGTTTGGTGTGATACGGGAGTGTCGTGAAAATGCCACAGGCAACCTCTTCATGGCAAAGATTGTTCCTTATGAGGCAGACACCAAGCAGGCAGTGCTTCAGGAGTATGATATCCTTAAATCTCTTCATCATGACAGGATTATGGCTCTACACGAGGCCTATGTTACACCACGCTACCTGGTGCTCATTTCCGAGTACTGCAGTGGGAGGGAGTTGCTCTACAGCCTCATAGAAAGGTCAGTAACTAGCTCCATGTCAAATTTAGGGTAAAGTCTTTCTACCCAGAACGCTTTAATGAGCTGTATTTTTGTTATTCTCAGGTTCCGTTACTCTGAGGATGATGTGGTAACTTACATTGTGCAGATCCTTCAGGGTCTAGACTACCTACATGCTCGCCGCATCCTGCACCTTGATATCAAACCAGATAACATCATAGTGACGCACATGAACCTCGTCAAGATAATTGACTTTGGAAGTGCTCAAACGTACAACCCTCTTTTTCTTAAGCAGTTCAGCCCTCCAATTGGAACACTGGAATACATGTGTAAGTGTTTACTCAAAGTCTAGTCCATAGCTATGATTAGGAGAGAAACATGACTTTGCACTAAAAAAACAGGCCCAGCTTTATCATCTATAATCTAAGGTTACAGGTAAACAGGACTAGACTAAATGAAGCCACAATAACAAGAAATAGAACAGAGAATGTAAAGTTAGGGGTTAGACTGTGGAACACTATAGAATTGGAGAAATCAAATGAAAAGTGGTCCCTATGTTCTCCAGCATCCTAAGCCCATAGCAGCAGAAGTATAGCAATATCTCAGGTTAACCTGAGCCACTCTAACTATAAGCTTTATTAGACGGGAACATTTTAAGCCTAAACTTTAAACTTAAAAGTTTAAAGGTTTAAACTTTAAGGAGAGAAACATGACTGGCACTTAAAGACTAGAATTTTTTTTTATTTTATTTTATTTTTTTAATACACACCCTTACAGATGCTGGACATGTAAAATGATATATACGGTAGTTTCCATTTGTCAATTAATGAGGGATTGATCTGGTTTGTAATTTCTGGATTTGCACTTTGTTGTCTCCACCGCCATTAAGATAGCTTTAATTTTTACAACTTTCTTACCTTAGTAGACATTAAATCAAAACAAAAGGCATTTGCAGGGACATGTAATTTTTCCTTTTTCCCTTTCACGTGCGCAACACTGCTATCAAATATCTGTTAAAACTCTGCAGCTGGACTATACTCCTTTTAGCTAATACCCCGATTTGGAATCATGGACAAGAAAATATATAGACAGATGATTAAATCAAATTAAGATCTTTGAGACACATTTAAAAAACCTTGAGGTCTGTAATACAGGATAACCTTAAGAAGTTTGGCTTCTTTTAAACAAATGATGGTTTAAGAAAAGTATGTTTACAGGTGTGAGTATCTACTTAAATAACTATATAGGTGTTGTGTCTAAGAATATATTTAATTTAATTTTGTTATTTAGGAAGGACAGTGCATAATGAACCGTTATAATGTAAATATGCCAGATTGTACCACAACACTCATTTACATCCCTAGGCAGGTGACCAAGAAAATAACAATAGACAGAAAGACCAAGTGATATATATATGTATACATATATACATATATGAATACATAACATATTCGCAAGCATGCACGTACACACTCCCACATACACACAGAGAAATTGTCATTGTGAGGACAGCATACTCCACAGGTTTGGTTTTCCTTCACCTGATCTCTCAGTTGTGATTTGAATATGTTTTATTAGTCTGAGTTTTTTAAGTTAAGTGGTTAATGAAAGATAATAAAAGTGATTCCTTCTATTTCTTCTGCTGGCAGCTCCAGAGATGTTGAAAGGAGATGTTGTGGGTCCTCCAGCAGACATCTGGAGCGTTGGTGTCCTGACTTTTATCATGTGAGTACTGCTTTTCTTCCTCCTAACAGACTGTGTATAAACAGAAACATATTTCTTAAACACAATGCAATATTATGATTGGAATAGTTTTCTGTATTAGAATTTTCTAAATTTACAGCCCTTCTGTGTGGGGGGAGTTTTTATCATGGCCAAGTACAGAATATTGTCACACAGCAATTCATTCTATTCATCATTGTTTTTCAGGTTGAGTGGCAGGTCGCCTTTCATGGAAAACGATCCTCAGGAGACTGAAGCCAGGACCCTGGCAGCCAAGTTTGATCTGTCTAAACTTTATCAGAATGTGTCACAAAGTGCCTCCTTGTTCCTAAAAAAGATCCTGTGTAGCTACCCTTGGTAAGCTTAAGACAATTTATTATCTTCAGAAAAAAATAGTTACTTACACGTGCTGCCTATAAAATTTTTAACTCTAACGATGTGCGTGTTTTTTGTTTTGTTTTTCTAACCAGGGCCCGTCCGTCAATCAAGGACTGTTTCAGTAACTCCTGGCTTCAAGATGCCTACCTGATGCGCCTTCGCAGGCAGACTCTCACCTTTACAACAACTCGTCTCAAGGAATTCTTGTCCGACCAGCAGCGCCGGCGGCAGGAGGTGGCCACCAAGCACAAAGTCCTACTTCGGTCCTACCAGAGTTCCCCACTAACACCCAACAGCCCTACTAAGCCAACAGTGCCCACGTCAGCCTCTACACCTGTCACACAGTGAAGACTTCCAAATATCCACTGGCAAGACTTTACAGGTGGAGAGAGTCGATTTCAGAGTGAGGCGAGGCTTTCGACTGGAATCTGTTTATTGTCCTTTTCTCTCTGGTCAAAACAAGAATCTAAGAAACTGCCTTCACAGCTAAGGGAACTTTGGGTCATGCTGAAAGAGGCGAATAACCACAGCATGAGCCTCATCAAACAGAAGAGGATGCTGTCTTTGAAACAAGTACCTCAAAGTTGCAACTTTTTAATTCATTTTAAATTAAACTTGTTTTCGTACCATTGCATCTACCTTGATGCAAGAATCACTCATCACAGAAAGTGTCACTGTAAATAAAACGGTGGTTTTTGGACTTATTGATATCTAAACTGGGTGAATTCCAAACTGAGGAGCGCATCTTCACAACAAAATCCACATTTAACCTATTGATGTCAAATTAATTAATACAATTCACTCTATAACAAAATCAAAGGCAGACTGAATAATTTCCATCAGGTCTGCTTTTTTTCCCAGTTTCACAGCAACCCCCCTGTGGTCAATATTGTTCTGGAAAGGCTAAGATGGGCTACATGAGCTTGAATATATCTGTAGTACCTTACTGAAGGTCAGGAATGTAGCAGTTCAAAAATGGACTACTCTCCTTTTGATTTTTATTTAATGTCCTGACTTTAGAAGTTAATACATGTGGCTTCCATACAAGGGCTATGAGGAAAGAATGATGCTCATCATACAGAGGAGCATATTGATAAGTGTCTAATTTTCGAAAGCTGGGAAATTTTCTATATGTTGTGGTAAGGTCATTAACTTTACTCTAAAAAAAAGAAACATATTTTCTTCCAGCAGGGATGTTAAAAGCACAAGTGTTTCCCTGCAGGCAGGTATGCAGGATAGCAATCTTTCTTTAGAGGCTTTATACTTCTTCACCAACATACAAGAAAATAAACACAACCTATTTCTACACAAAGAATATAATCCTTTAGAGGCTTTATACTTCTTCACCAACATACAGGAAAATAAACACAACCTATTTCTACACAAAGAATATAATCATTATGAACAAGATTTTTGGGATGTATGAATTTTTTTCATAGTCTCATTGAAATCTGGCTTTTGGTTGGTAAATATTAAGGTCTTAAACATTACAAATACTACAAAACTACCAAAAAAATAAACTTTTCAGTACAGTAAAAAACTGCCTAAACAGTGCAATATAGCAAAAGAAAAACAAACGTTAGTTTTTAAACTATCACTTTTTTAACATGTCTCAGCAAGCTGTGTTACAGTCCTATTTCTTGGAGCAGTTTTTGGGCCGTTTACAACATTGCTTTTGTTATAATAATATACAAACCTGGAAGTGTTAGCTTTCTGTGAAGCAAAGGCTCATAGGTGTTACAATGATAAGTTTTTAGCTTTATGTAGCAGCTAGCTGCCCTGCAGAGCTGATACATACATATATATACATATATATGTATATCAGCTCCTTGTTCTCCATGGACTGTATCAGCTATGTATATATACACTCACCGGCCACTTTATTAGGTACCCCATGCTAGTAACGGGTTGGACCCCCTTTCGCCTTCAGAACTGCCTCAATTCTTCATGGCATAGATTCAACAAGGTGCTGGAAGCATTCCTCAGGGAGTTTGGTCCATATTGACATGATGGCATCACACAGTTGCCGCAGATTTGTCGGCTGCACATCCATGATGCGAATCTCCCGTTCCACCACATCCCAAAGATGCTCTATTGGATTGAGATCTGGTGACTGTGGAGGCCATTTGAGTACAGTGAACTCATTGTCATGTTCAAGAAACCAGTCTGAGATGATTCCAGCTTTATGACATGGCGCATTATCCTGCTGAAAGTAGCCATCAGAAGTTGGGTACATTGTGATCATAAAGGGATGGACATGGTCAGCAACAATACTCAGGTAGGCTGTGGCGTTGCAACAATGCTCAATTGGTACCAAGGGGCCCAAAGAGTGCCAAGAAAATATTCCCCACACCATGACACCACCACCACCAGCCTGAACCGTTGATACAAGGCAGGATGGATCCATGCTTTCATGTTGTAGACGCCAAATTCTGACCCTACCATCCGAATGTCGCAGCAGAAATCGAGACTCATCAGACCAGGCAACGTTTTTCCAATCTTCTATTGTCCAATTTTGATGAGCTTGTGCAAATTGTAGCCTCAGTTTCCTGTTCTTAGCTGAAAGGAGTGGCACCCGGTGTGGTCTTCTGCGGCTGTAGCCCATCTGCCTCAAGGTTCGACGTACTGTGCGTTCAGAGATGCTCTTCTGCCCACCTTGGTTGTAACGGGTGGTTATTTGAGTCACTGTTGCCCTTCTATCAGCTCGAACCAGTCTGGCCATTCTCCTCTGACCTCTGGCATCAACAAGGCATTTCCGCCCACAGAACTGCCGCTCACTGGATGTTTTTTCTTTTTCGGACCATTCTCTGTAAACCCTAGAGATGGTTGTGCGTGAAAATCCCAGTATATCAGCAGTTTCTGAAATACTCAGACCAGCCCTTCTGGCACCAACAATCATGCCATGTTCAAAGTCACTCAAATCACCTTTCTTCCCCATACTGATGCTCGGTTTGAACTGCAGGAGGTTGTCTTGACCATGTCTACATGCTTAAATGCACTGAGTTGCCGCCATGTGATTGGCTGCTTAGAAATTAAGTGTTAACAAGCAGTTGGACAGGTGTACCTAATAAAGTGGCCGGTGAGTGTATATATATATATATATATATATATATATATATATATATATATATATATATATATATATATATATATATATATATATATATATATATATATATATATATATATATGTATATATATATATATATATATATATATATATATATATGTATATATATATATATATATATATATATATATATATATATATATATATATATATATATATATATATATATATATATATATATACTTTTTTTCCATCTTCAACCATTGTAATGATAAAAGTAATCATAAATCCCAAGGAGACTTGAGTGTTACAGTGCTATCACTTCGATAATGTGAAAAGTCATTTTCAGCTAGATTTTTTTTTAAAGTTTTATCCATATGAACACTTTTGTTAGGATTGGCAAGCAGGAATGGAAGTGTTCTGTTTTTAGCTGCTGTCTCCTGGACAGTTTTTTGGTTAAGTTTCTATTGCTCTATTGCCACCTTCTTTTTCATGCCTGCAGGGCTTCCAGGGATATGACCAGATGCTCATTACCAGTTAATTTCAATGCTTGCAGTAAAACCAAAATGACTTTTTATCAACATTTATTTTTTTTAATGTTACTAAATGTTTGCTGAGACTGGCTTCAGTTAAGCTAAGAAGGGCTAGAAAAGTAGCATCATAAATTGGTCAAACATTTGACAGTCAGTTGCAGAGTGTTTTAGAATTTGACATAAGCTCCTGGCGGAGCTAAGTGCCAGGATGTAACATGGTAAAGCAGGATGTTGACGAGGAGTTCATTAGTTCTTGTTTTAGCTTTCTGTTTCATCTACCACCAGCTATGTGTTAAAAAAAAGCTCTTTTGATCCTTTGTTGTTGTTTTTTTTACAATGCAGTTTTGCTGATGACTTCTAAAACAGCTTACTCTAAACTATATGGAAGTACCAGATACAGAAGGCCTTAACTCAAAAAAAATTATGTAACAAATAAATTGAGACTAACCTTTCACAGACTCACAGTTACAAATTCTCATCATTACACTGAGAATAAATGAATCTCTGATTTTTCCATCAGGCACTTTTTAAAGAAACTTAAGGAAGAGAACTTTGAGAAATCCCCATTAATTTGCTGCATCAACTTAAAAAGGTTGATGGTTAAGATATTTTCTAATTTACATATATTGGCATGAGATCTCTGGTTCTCTGGTTTATTTATTCTCTTTAGCCCCAGCTCTTCTTTGGTTTCATTGTAGTCATTTTTGTTTAGGTAGGAAACTTCAGCTTGAATGAGAAGAGGCATGCAAGTGCAATGCTGCATTAATCTAAAGTGTTGTGCAGTATAAAAACTCTATTCCTTGATGATTAAATAAAGATAATTGTCTGTAAGCAACAACAGGGTTTTGCCACATTTTGTAGTATATTCTGCAGATATCTTGTTGTTGTTTCTCTTGATGGAAATTAGACCCAGAGGGTAAAGTTATGTAGTGTAAGAGTAACTTTTTTATGTGGCTGCTTTGTTTGTGTGTGTGTGTTTTGGCTAAAATTGTTCATTTATGAGTGACAGTTTGTTACTACAGCTTCAGCTTATTTGCGAAATCTCTCTTGTCTGGCATGGAAATGGAATGACAGTTGTTACAGTTCCAAAAATAAAAGAAATGTTATCAAATATTTGGATTCATACTGGCATATTTTTCAGGTATACTCTAGGGAACCCAAATCATAAACTTGGTGAAGAAATCTAATAGTTTCATGCATTGAAGTTAATTCAAACAGAAAATGTGGGAGCTAGGCAGAGGGAGTGGTCCATTTTAGATATTATAAGAGCTTCAGAATTTGTAGGAAGAACATTAGAGTCATTACAGAAAAAGAAAATAAGAGAAATCCCCCATGTTTTAAAATAATTTGGATGTCTAAAGAGGGAGGAGGAGTGATGACTCACTGAAAACACCCACCCTTCCCTTCCCAAATTACCTGTACTGAAGATATAAGAGGAAGGTGTTAATTGGGTCTTCCAGCATCTGAAATTGAAGGAACCACTAGAACCTGTTGGTGTCTCCCTTTTCTGCATCAAAATCTGCATTGACTAACTAACCCATATCTCACCCACATTTTCTACCCATTAAGCACTGTCGGTTTCCCCTCCACCATTGTTCTGTTCTCTAAGACAGGTGTTGTCACTGGATTTAAAGGGCATTGCATACCAAAATTAAATTATACAATTTTTATAAAGATGTCTCCTGCTGTTTTCCATATGTCCCAGGGAATATTTTGACAATTTAAAGTACATTATTTGCTGCTTCTGTGCCCATTCTTCTGTTTGGCACTCTCCTCATGTCTATAGTGTACACTGCATCCGATTTTGAGTCTGCATTAATTTGGGCTTCTTTATTATTGGGCTGTCACCAGAAACAAATATATCAGCAAATCTGCTGCCTGGGGATATACTTCGCTCAGTACAAAGATTCAACAAGACTGTAGTTTTTACTATTTACCTTAATCTACGTATAACCTGGGCTGCCCTCTAGCATCACTAGAGTTAGAGGCTCAAACTGCCTCCACCACTGCTTTGTTCTGTTCAGTCAGCATACATTGTCAGATAATGGAAAGGCATTGCACAAAGACAGACCGAAATAAAATTTTGTATCTGCCATATGATAACCTAATTAAGAAAAAAAATCTGTCTGAATAGTATGCACTACGCTGCACAGTAGCTACTACTGTGTTATTAGCCATATCACCCTGATTTGTACATTTGCCTGTCAGACTAGCATATAGTACACCTACTATTTATCAACTGTATGACATCCTGTTTTCTCAGAAAACCATCATATTTTGCAGATTTTAAATGTGGACTGAGGTAAGGCTGTGGTGAGTAGTTGTGCTTGTTGTGGGCTTCCGCTTGGCCCTCCATTCTGTCAACCCAGACTTTCTCCATTTGATGCAAGCCAAGCTGCCACCTGTTAGTGGATCACCAGGTCCCTGTCTGGCAGCAGGAAGTGAGACTTGTGGGCATCAAGAACTGTCAACATTGGAGACAACATCTGATGAAGATCAGATGGGAGGTCAGGCTAACTGGTCTAAAGTTGGCCAGATCCACAGCTGCGTGAACCACATGATACTA